GGGCACTCGATATCGTCTCTGCATATGATACGGTGCAGGGGAAGTGGATAAGTCTTCCTCCGCGTGCGCGGCGGATGCCTGCGCCGCGTGATCATGCGGGCGGGGTTACGGTGGGGAGCAAGTTGTATGTCGTTGGCGGGCGGGATGCGAGGGTGCTGAAGGATACGGTGTTTGTGCTTGATATGGATGATGTGGAGCGGGGGTGGATGGAGGAGGAAAGGGCGCGGATGCCGACTGCGAGGGCCGGGCTAGCGGCGGCGGTGTTGGGGAAGCGGATCTATACGTTTGGTGGGGAGGGGAATGAGGAGGTGGCATCGGGCGTTTTTAACCAGACGGAGGTGTTTGATGTTGAGAAGCGGGTGTGGGAGAGATTAGGGCCCATGGCGGAGCCGCGACATGGGATTTCCGCGGTGGGAGTCGAGGGGAACTGTCATGGGCATGGAGGAGGGGTGATATATATACCGGGTGGTAGTGTTGAGGAGGGCGCACGTTCGACGAGCTATTTTGATGCTTTTTATCCTCGGTAGAAAAGATAGGGTTGAGGTGATTTTAGAGCTGTTTATCGGCAAAAGAGGTTGTTTTATCTTGGAGACGTTGTCCCTTCTGTTTATTTCCTTCCCCCTTGACTGGGGTTTGTTCCGAACAACCTTCTCACTTCCTGGCCGGCGCCCCTTTCTTCTGGTATAGCTCGAATGGGAACCATATTTATGCAACAGTCATTGCTTGATTGCTTCAAAGATATGGCCAATATAGATGTATTTGAATTAAGTATCGAAGCAGTATGCAGACTTCGAAGTTCTCCATCAATAATTAAAAAGATTTAGCCTTAACTAGTTACATATCGCCCAGAAGCTTCAAAATCTTTGAAATCAGCCTCTGTCAGTTTCGAGTCCAGAAATGACACCACGCTACCACACTAGTTGCATTCTGCGACTCCTTATACCGTGTCATGGTGCTCTCACAGCCTCTGAATTATCAATAATGGTTATCTCAATAATCAATCATGTAGATCTTTGCCTTCAGATCAATCTCTTTCTGCTGTCCCATATAATCAATGTCACATAAGGGCATACAAAAATTTGTCAGAGCCATACCTTTTTTCCCCCTTGCGGGTCAGGTTGAAATTTAGAGGTTGGCTGGCGAGACTAAACGGCGTTAAGCACGCTTATAGCGGCAAATCCCACTCCCAACCGGCGCCAACTCCCCCGTGCTTACGGTGCGCGGATAACTGTAAAACTCAAAAAGTACTACATGTACTGTCCATGTACAGTACAAACGAAATGAAAATCAATAATCCGCTGTATTGCCATTATTATTAAATCACGTTGCAGGTTTTCAAAGAACTAAGACGGGCGCCAGAACAGTTCATGCAACTGCCTAGAATTGTGCAGGGGCAATTCACGTAAAGTACATTTGCCCTCCTTCAAGTTCAGTTGAGCTGCGTCTTGAAAAGGGGCGAGGGAGCGGTTGAATAGTAAGGACATTCATGTTGACTCTTGAGCAGTTGTAACATAGCATTGAAGAAACAAGAGTTATGTGGCTGCGGGATTGCAGCCGCCCCCTGAGAGGCTAGCAGAACAACCACTATGTTTCAGAGCAGCCCAGGGTCCCATCAGGCCAACCAGCGACGCTCCCTTCTGCAGCAGCACCTAGCAAGAGTGGACACAAACTCCGGAGTATTTCTTCAAAAATTGCGCTATCTGGCTAGTTGGACTACTAATTTTCTGCTGGCCAACCACAGCCTCGTATGCTCTGGCTGACGTAACAATTCAGTCAGTCGGGCTCGGATCAACTTCCACTCCGAGACCCCTGCCGTGATTTCATCTTGAAATCTGCCCAGGTGCCGAAACCAAAAGAAATGACACCGTTGCTGCTCGCACACACTGTTGCTTGCAGAGGATCCGGGTTGTTTTTCTCGATCTTTTGTCGCCTATATGCTTTCTGTTTCCGTGTGACTAGACATACCCTGGGTATCTGAAAGCTGTTACCCGACGCTATACACCTGATCTTTCTACCACCCTCCAATTACCCCAGATAACTATCTCTTAAAAGCCGCAGCGCTCTTGACCTTCGCTGCAGCCAATACGACAGACACATTTACCCCCTATGGGAAGCGGTTTTGAGTAATCCAATTTTTTCTTAATTTTTTGAATTTGGTTCTCTCTGGGCCGTGGGCGCAACTCCGCAATAGAGAACCCACGCAGATCCGGTAGTGGAACAATTTTCTCAGACCCAAGGGTGTGTGTGGCCTCTGATATAATATATACACATATATATATACAACCGGCCGTTCCTAGACTTCCAGCTCCTGCCCGTTCAACCCGCGAGGCTGGGGCAGCTGCTATCTGTGGGAATTACTTTTTCATACATGCTGTTCGTTTGGGAGGGATGAAGGGGCATTCTCCCTACTCGAATGGTTACACCGCCTACCCGCGCGGGGAGGGCGGGACTTTCTCGATATCACCTCATAGGTACGTTGTTATTCTCTGTGCCTATAGAAAGACAACAAAAATGGCGAGAAGCGTTTTGTCATTTCCCTTACTGCAGGCAGGTGTTATGATTGGCGCGTTGTGTGAACGAGTTTGACTAATTCCAATACATACCTTTTCTCCTTCAAAATAGATTTCAACCACGCTCACATTCTGCGTTGCGCCGAAGACAACAGCTCATACAACGGCTATGCGTCCTTGGCGGCTTTTCGTTCTTTATTTTACTTTTAATTTTCCCCTCCTGGCGAGCTGCGATATTAGGAACTATAACGTTTGGTCTCTTCTCTTCCGTCGACGACTTTCAACCGGAGACCGTCAGATACTATGACCTCTCAGACTTTCAAGGAACTGCCCGGGGCTGGGAACGACAGGAGCGAGTCCTCCTCTGCACACCCCTTAGAGACGCGGAGCCACATCTACCCGTGTTCTTTTCCCATCTACGAAATTTTACCTATCCACATCACCTCATAGATCTCGCCTTTCTCGTTTCCGATTCGAAAGACAACACGCTTGAGACCCTTACAAAAATGCTTGAGGAATTGCAGGATGATCCAGACCCTAAACAGCATTACGGAGAGATATCCGTGATTGAGAAGGATTTTGGACAGAAGGTCAAACAAGACGTGGAAAGCAGGCATGGCTTTGCTGCACAGGCGTCCCGAAGAAAACTTATGGCCCAAGCGAGGAATTGGCTGTTGAGTGCCACTCTGCGCCCAACACACAGTTGGGTATATTGGAGAGATGCTGATGTGGAAACTGCGCCTTTCACTATTTTGGAGGATTTAATGAGGCATAACAAGGATATTATTGTACCAAGTGAGTTTGGCCCATGGGCGTACCTTTATATACGTCTATACATTCATCGTTCCCAGGCCACTGACTTTTAAACGGCAGACGTTTGGCGGCCTCTTCCCGATTGGCTTGGTGGAGAACAACCCTACGACTTGAACTCGTGGAAAGAATCAGAGACCGCGCTGGCCCTGGCGGATTCTCTAGACGAGGATGCTGTCATTGTGGAAGGCTATGCGGAGTATGCTACTTGGCGCCCGCACTTGGCATATCTCAGAGACCCCTATGGAGACCCCGATATGGAAATGGACCTCGATGGTGTGGGTGGCGTGAGCATCCTAGCCAAGGCTAGGGTATTCCGCTCCGGTGTCCATTTCCCGGCATTTAGCTTCGAGAAGCATGCGGAGACCGAGGCGTTTGGAAAGGTGAGTTTATATAATTGTTTTACAAAAAATTTTCTCTTGCTTTCCACATCTAACTTTCTTGACGTTGAAAACAGATGGCTAAGCGTATGAAATTCTCCGTCGTCGGCCTGCCCCACTACACCATCTGGCATCTCTACGAGCCGAGTCTGGACGACATCAGGCACATGGAGGAGATGGAGCGAGAGCGCAAGGCGCGCGAAGCGGAGGAGAAGGAGAAAGCCGAGCGAGCAAAGTTTGTGCAGGAACAATTTAAAGACACGAGGGACGAGTGGGCGAAGGATGGTGAGGCTATCAAAGATATTTTGAAGAAGGATGAGCTGGCAAAGAAGGGGGAGAAAAAGGACGAGAAGAAGCAGAACGTCGGAAAGAGGAGTAATTCTGGAGGCGAGGGTGTGGGTCAGCAACAGCAACAATAGCAAAACCGGAAACGAGAACAACTACCACGAGCGGAGAAGGAAGATAGCGCTGCGCCTGTGCGGGTGGGCCGGAGATGATAATGAAGTCGGAATGTGTGCGTGTTGCGTGTGTCTAGATAATCTATATACCTTCCTCATGCTAGAGACCTGAGAGTTTCTAGCATGCTGCTATTTTATTACTTTTCTTGCTCTCGATCCTACGTCGATTTTTTACCCCTTATTGGTTTCATTCTTGTGTTGCCCAATCCGTGTTATAAGTCTGATATACAATAATACTTATAATCCAGTAGCCCCCTTTTGGTTGTTCTCTACTTCTGATATCATTTGAATTCTTCCGCTCTTTTCCTTCCCTAGAGCGCAAGGCAAGGTACAAACTAAGCAATGAATCAATCGAAATCAAAGCCGTCAAGACAAACTCCCATTTGTGACTCGCTCATACGCACTCTTTCCATCCCTGCGTGGCACGCCTACAGGAAATATCCAACAAGGAGGAGATTAAAGAAGCAAAATCACAGTATAGTATTGTTCAAAAAGTACCTATTGATGTATTTTTATAACAGCTTATTATTATCATTGTTTCTATTTTTACTTCTCACTGTTATTAATGTCATTTTTTTCCCTCCCTGTTACATTTTATTTCGCAAATGTATGTCTATCACTTGTAGTCTTGTTCTCTCTCTCCTTTTTGTTATATACCTCTACTCCGTATAGTCTGTAAGATAGGAGTGCAGCCACTCAAGAGCATCTCATTTTCGACGCTGTTTTAACCATACGGGAAGAACGTAGGGTTAATTTACGGTGATTACACCGTGGATCCACCATTCCACCCGTGTCACGTGTCGCCGATCGTAACACATGTTCCACCATTATATTCGACGACACGTCGCCGAATATTAAACGTCAAGATAGCGTTGAGACGGCGCAGGACTTCCTAACACCATCATGACACTACTCAGTAACTGTGTAATTGGCAGATGCCACCATCAGAATACTACTAAGATACTAGTTAGGTTTTAGCCGCGCGCCGCTCGAAACCATAAAAAGACGCGCCCCTAATTAATCACGCAATTTAGCCCCGCGGCTATAGCTCCGAGTCCCACCCACGGCGAAAAGAAGATCAAGATACAAACCAGATACCTTAAATTTCCCTATCTTATATCAGATTTAATCGTGGAATCGATAATTATTCGAGTGAACTGAGCGGAGCGAATAACGATGGCAAAGCTCACGGGACGAGCGCTTGACTTTACACACACGAGCCCGCAACACGCTCTCAAGCTCGTGGAATTACCACCCGAATTGGCGGAGCTGATTTCCTCTGGGAAGACTGGATCTCCGTACGCATATACCACATTTCAATAGATTATTACCAATAAATAATTCCTATGAACCATTGCGCTTTCCACTAACCACGTCCAAGTCAATCAAAAACCGTAGTCTCTACTTAAAATCCGCCCCGCCATCGTCTTCATCTGCCCCGTCGTCATCCACCGATGCCTACGTAAACCTCTGTACGACTACCCAAACCTACATGGTCCGACATGTCCACTCCTCAAACTGCATATACCTCATCCAACCCGCCCCTTCTACCCAGCCGGAGCCGCAACAGGCGACAGGAGAAACGCCTCGTCACCACATCACAACCATCGCCAAATGCAATGCCACGCTCGAACTCGTGAAGCTGGATAGCAACCCATACTCCGCACTTCCGTATCTCCAGCGCTCACTGCGCGTGTATAGTGGTACGCACGCTGAGGAGGACGCGGATGTTGATATGAGCGACGCCGGCAATGGCAATGGCACTGGGGCAGTATCTACTGCTATTGCTACTGAAACCGCTGGCGATAAGAGTTCCATTGTGCAAAGGGAGCGGCGACGAGCTATTACAAAGGTATTTGGCGATGTCCCATTTTCGCCGGTGGAGTGTGAGCGGGGCTGGGTGGAGGTGTGCGGGTTTGTACACAAAGCGCGTCACTCTGGTGGTGGTGGTGATGATGGTCGATTAGCTTGTTGGAGACCATCGGCTGTCGTAAAGATTCAAACGTGGAAAAATATTTTGGATGGGGCTGTGTTGCAGGGGATTAATATGGAGAAGCAGTTTTTGGTACGGGATTTGTGGCGGGCTGTTAGGGTGGGGGATGCTGGGTTCCCAAGGCCGTTATTTGATGCGTTGGTGAGGAGGTTAATGGGGGATCCGGCGTCGCTGGGTCTTGGGGAGGTTTATGAGGAGCTCAAATGTAAGGTGGTTGTGAAATTGGGTGTATATTTCTTCTTTTTCTGCCATGGGAGGACTGCTGACATATTTTTGGGGGCTTTTAGGGGCAAGTCTCGATAAAGATACTACGGTGAGCTGGGTTGGGGAAGTTTACCTAGAGGCCAACGCGCCGGATCCAACGATGGCGATTGGTCGCGCGGAATTCTTGGAGAGTTGGAAAGATCTATTGCCGGAGTCTTGGAGGAGCGAAGCTACGTGGGATAATTTGAAGGTACGCATAAGTGTTTCCTGTCCATCTAGAACTGCGCAACTATGTACTGAAATGTACTGTACATACATAAAAATCGGATCTAGAACTTGCTGTATGTATGTGGATAAATTTGGAGTAACAGACTGACAAAGGAACTGCTGAATGACACAGAGCGACTCCCACCAATATCCCGGTCCGGCAAGCGTTTGTTATAAGCCCAGGCTAGAAACTCAGGCTCGTCGTACAGGACTCAAGGCGTGCGTGAAGCATGGAAACCAGTGATAACCAACATCAAATACGATACGGTATGGGGGATTGCCCGCATAAGCCGCAAAAGCAAATATATCGCCACCAGGCTATCTGAGTACTCCTCCCATGGTCTATCGGAATAAGGCTGGAAATAAATGACACCACCCATAAAAAGCATTAGACAATCTCTCAACATAAAAAGGGCGGAAGAGAAACTAAAGACCCATGAGAAGGAGCTTTGAGCTCAACTTCAGGAAACAGCAGCTAAGCGTCAACACCAGGCATACTTCTCGTTCCAATACCAATCAACATCTTCGCCTAGCCCAAGCTGTTTGCCATTCCACTTAAGGCTACATATGCTAGTTTGTTCTCTATGCTCGACTTGCGCAGTCTCACTCAGCATTTTTGCGGCTTTTTCGACGACTGGGGATGGATTCCAAATCTCCACACGGCTCATACCCCACTCATGCGCCTGCAACTGGGCCCGATAGAGTGTTGCAGCCAGCGCTTCGATTACCGCCTTCTCTTCAGCTGGCGAGTTTGGTTCCTCGTATAGCGTCCGCAGGATATATAAAACGTGGTCCTTGTCGGTCTTTCCAAAGTTCCGATTCCAACAGATGAAAACTTTGCGGCTTTCAACGCAAGCGCCCTTCACCTTGGGCACGCCCTTGGCAGGAACCAGAATCTTTGAGTAGAACTCTTCGCGGGCCCAATGCCAGCTCAAAGCTGCATAATCTGGCACAAAGCCAACTTTGGCCTTTTTTGAATTCAATGACGCCTCCCTTAAGACTTGTTTGTACCGCTCAAGTGCTGCATCGGAGCACATGAGGCGTCTGACGTCGTCTGCCTGCATTTCCCTCCCCATGCCCAAATCGACTCCAGGGGTAACCTGCTGTACTCTATCATTTGAGGTGGTTGGGAGACAGATGTGCGACGAAGGGAATGCCTTCCACCCACGTTCCCCATAAAAGTTTTTGCCGATATCCGAGTAGAGGACTGAAAATATGCCTTTCTTCCGCACCGAATTTTCTTGCTGCCATGTGTCCAGCTTCTTCGCGAGCTCAGTAATCATCCGCCCACCGTAACCCCGACGGCGAAACTCTGGTTTTGAAAAGACGCTTCCAACACCGTGGGCAATGATCTGCTCGACCTCACCGCCATGAGCTAACCAGGCGCGTTTGCCAAACGACTCGCAGCTGCTGAGAATGGGACGGTTATCGGGGGGAAGATGACGGTCTACGAGGATCCATTGGGTCATTGCGCCGTCCTTGGTCATGTCCTGATTCATGAGGTGATTCTCGCGCTGAATATATTGATCAGGATCCAATAGACCTCTCCATTCCCGGCTATTTGCTTTCAGACATTGGATGCGCTCTGCGGTGGTGGGGACGACGAGAGTGAGGTCCGGGGAGTCTGAGGGGGGCAGGTAGCAATCGGAGGACCCCATGACTTGGGGTTCTGTTTGAGCTATTGGTTTCTCTTATTTCTTCCTTTATTTTTGATTAAAGACGAGCCGCGCTCTGTGAGTGGGGTATATTGTTGTGTTGATATAAGTTTATATGTATAGCAAATTTCATCAGTCCTAGGATCTCGACGAGCTGGATGAAGGGGCGTTGTAGAAATACAAAGCTACCCAGGCAGGTTTTATATCTTCGACAGGGATTCAAAAGAAGCAAGGGAGCGCCGTCTCTGATTCGTGCAAATGGCCGAATAGAAGACCTGGTGATGCATGCACAAGTGCGCCGCCGTTCCTACCTAGGTAGGCAGTCGTCTCCCTGTCAAGGGACAGAATAAGGAACGCCCACAAAGCGGGTCTCCAGTCGTCGGCTATTTTCGGTCCCTCTAAAAGGACACACACTAGCTAGACATTGATGACATATTACTAATCAACAGTGATATCTGTCCAGCGCAGCTCTCTCAGGAACAGCTCTCTGTAGGGGCAAAACTGAGTTCAGGCTGGGGCTAGTGGTTAAGACTGGGCTGGTAAACGCTATGCGCTTGTATAGTATGAAAAACCACCACTATTTTGAATATTTTGAATGTAACATAGGTGTGACTTGTTAGTGGACTGTGTTTTAAAGGAGTGTAATCGGGCCGAAAGTTCTTCCGCCAAGAGTTGGGGTCTGGTTCCCCCGCTTAATCGGTGCCTGGTTCCGATGGAAAGCGACGTCATCCGGGGACGGACCCAGGGTTAAGCCTTCCCGATTCGGGTTTCGGCCAGGAATCATCAGGCCCGGGGAAGCTGCTTAGTCACCCGTCGCGCGTCACTGATGCTGAAAGTCACATGATTATGCTAAGCCTAGATTGGAAGTTTTTGACTCCATGGACGGACAACGACATCGTCGTTCGTTGCTCTTCATGGTGGGACAACAGCGCCCCAAGCACAAGTTGAAATGGGAATCAACATGGTCTGGCTGTGAAGTTGGTGTCTGTAGTTGTCCCCGCCACGCGGATAGGATTTCCAACATTCTCTATGCATCTCTGACTAACAAAGGGAAATCCAAGATTCGAGGTTCGAGGTGCCAGGCTGAGTCTCAAGGACGTGAAAAGCATGAATGAATGATTTGCATCTGGATCTTCTTACCGCGAACCTCCTCGCCTCCACCACTCCACCAGCTAGTTCTTGACACTTCGCAGGTAGAGGGACTCAGCTCCAGCATCTATATTTGCAGCTCTGGAGGCTGCTTCACTTCATTAACTAGGGCTTCTGTTCTTCTTAGACCCTACCCCTAGTCTTGTTCATCGCCTTAAGTGCAAGCTTCAATCCCCTAATCTTCAAGGAGCATAAGCTCTTCGATCTATCTCAGGAGCTGACTACTGTTTCATCCTACCCTGTCAGGCTTGGTAAATGAGGGCAGCGGGTGTCGATGATATCAGATACATTTTCTCCCATTCTGGATATCCAGCTGCCAAGTTGTGTGCACCTTTGTTTACAAGTACAGAGGCCTTTTTCCATTTGTATCATTGGAATCTCTTGGTATGTGGATTCACTTTCCTATATTTCTTTTCTCTTTATTTCTTTTATTTATTTATTATTGTATTTTTTGTCGTCCCTGCTCTGAGAGAAAATTTTTAGTTAACAACCACCAACCTTTTATTTCGGAGATCACAGCGCCTAAGCTATGAGCCATGAAACGAAAGCTCACTGAGATTATAGACCTCACGGGTGATGATGAAAATGGCGCCATCAAGGTGCCAAGGTCAAGTGGTGCTTCCCGCCTGGGTCAACCACGAGCCCGATCAACCTCTCCACAAAACAGAAATGACCAGATGTATGCTCGAGTCGCGACCATTTTCCCGAGTATCAGCTTCAAGTATGTTGGACAGCTTTACAAGCGTCTCGCGTTTGTCAACCCAGGCGTTGAGGTGGAGGAAGCTTTGGTCCACCTTATCATGGATTTGGGTCCATACCCCAAAGAAGAAGAAGAAGAAGTAGTAGCAAAACTCGAAAAGCTCCCACAAAATATTCCGCGAAAGTCTCAGCAATCAACTAGTTCCAAGAGAGCCTGGGGCAGAGACGATGGGGTCATTCGGGGCAAGTCTTACTACCGAGATAGGTAGGCCAAATTCCATTCCTGGTATAGTCTCACTGGCGGCTCTTTGTTTATATCCCTGGAAACTTCGGGATTAACCTAGAGCATCTATAAATCACAGGGTAGTTTCATTTTACAAACACTTTTCACTCTAATTTGGCTTTATTTCGTGTTACTATTATTTTTATTATTATTATAAATAGCTAACATCTGTCAGTCAATATCTGTTAGAACAAAATTTCCCTAAAATTCGTCCAGAGTACATACGCTTTGTACTACAGTCTCAGAAATCGTTGTTCGCTGCTTATGCAAGCCTAGACGAATCCGAAAACACACCCAATATGACGAATCCTCTTCCTTTACATCGACAACGCAGCAATCAGGGCCCCGTCGAACTGGTACGGCAGCCAGATATTCCGATGAATTCTGATATATTGCGTGAACTCCAGGATGCTTTAGAAGAGCGACGGAAAAGGGAAGGTATGGGACATTTCAAATCCAGACAACCAAACCCTGATCTCGTGCCCACTAGCTAACCCCATTTTAGAGTCACGTCAACGGGAAAAAGAGTTGGCTAAATTGGATGCCGAAAAAGAAGCGACATGCATTGCGCAGGGTAATGTCATGGAATGCAAATGTTGTTATACCGATGTCCCCATAATTCATATGATACCTTGTGCAGGGGAAAATATCCACTTCTTCTGCAAGGAATGTGTCAGATCCACTGCAAAATCCCAAATTGGTGTCATGAAATATGAAGTGAATTGCATGGACATAAGCGGCTGTGGTGCCGGCTTCGACAAACAGATTCTAGCCAAGGTTTTAGGTGACCCACTGATGAAGAAATTAGAACAGCTTCAGCAGCGCGACGAGATTGCAAGAGCAGAGCTTGAGGGACTACATGATTGTCCCTTTTGTGACTTCAAAGCTATATGCCCACCGATTGAAATGGGTGATTGCCAATTCTATTGCCAGAACCCAGCCTGCAGAAAAGTGAGCTGTCGTCGTTGCGGCCTAGCAGCTCACAGCCCACAAACCTGCGAGCAGGCCAATGACAAGAAAACACCCGCAAGACAGAAAATTGAGGAGGCGATGAGTGAAGCACTTATCAGGACCTGCCCTAATCCAAAGTGCAAGGTTAAAATAATCAAGGAAGATGGCTGCAACAAAATGACGTGCGTGAAGTGCCGCTCGGTAATGTGCTACGTCTGCAAGAAGGCCATCACAACGGAGGGGTACAGGCATTTTAACAAACGTCCAAATAGTTGTCCCCTCCATGACGGCAGGTCCAATAGTCGCCATTTCGAGGAGGTTTCAAGTGCGCACAAGAAAGCGATAGATGAGGTCATGAAGGCCAATCCGCAGTTGAATATCGAGGAATTAGCGGTCGAGGCCCCCAAGAACGAACATCACAAGTCGGTGGATCATCGCAGGTATCTACAACATCTACGGAATCAGCAACAGCATTACAACGATCTGCTCAGAAGGAGGCAGAATCCAGGCGCGCCAGCAAATCCAGCCCAACCTGGTGCTGCTGGCCCTGCGCATGTTCCCATGCATGCCGCAGTCAATCACAACCATCCATTAGCTGTGGCCTACCCCCAAGCAATTCCGGTCCCAAACGGAGCCAACCAGTTTCTTCATTTTAGAGGAGATATGGAACAGATGAACACAGTAGAACAGCCGCCCCATCCAACCCATCAGCCGATTGTCCGGCAAGATCCTCAGCAACCTCACATCTGGAATCACGGGTGGGATTTTCATTTTATCCCGCCAGCTGCGGCTCCAGTTCCAGTTCCATTTCCGCACGTTCCTAGCGTTCATCCACAGCAATATAATCATGGTCACCATCAACATTACCACTATCAATATGATCATCTTGGCCATCCAGTGCAAGGAACACCGATGCCGCAGCAACGAGTCTCCGCCGCCCGGAAGGATCAGAACCAGAACCAGAACCAGAACCAGAACCAGAATGGGAATCAAAATCAGAATCTGAGGCTAAATCAACCCCGAGATATCAATCAAGCTCAACAACATTCACCACCTCAGCCCCAGCTCAAAAATCCTCAAGGTCCACCTAAATTCCGAATACACTCCAATCTTCGCTTTCCTCTGTCCGCGCCCCCGCCGGCACCCCCGCCTGTGATGTCCACGCTTCCCAACTCATTCGGACCGATCCCATCCCTTAATCCACATCCACAGTGGAATCAGCAACTGAACAAGCCCCTTGTTATGCGCGGCGTTCCGGACAAGACTCAATCTCATAATCAAACAGTGTTGACCCAGCCATCTCCACTACCCACCCAACCTACACACATGCAGGCAAGACCGGCTGTTCCAGGCCAGCGTATTGCCTCCAATAATAACATCAACATCAACCACACTAATAACAACAATAACAACAATAACAACAATAATGATCCTCATCACATTAATAGACCGATCTTCCGCTACCCGGTTGACGTACCTGATCGCGGCCTGGGGGAGTTTCCGTACAATTAAACCCTCGTTCACTGGCTAGTTCTATGCGTTGGATATATGATAGGTCAGGGGATGAAAACCGACCTTTTCTTTTGATTTAATACTCATCTGCCACAGTTCACGTATTTTTCGCGTTTCCTCTCCATTTCCTCTACTTCTTTCTTGCATTCAGATCTAAACTCCAAGTTCATATGTTCAATAAGCAAGGCGTTTGTTTGCAATGTGTGTTGTCAGCATGTCTTAGGGGCATTGGGTGATTCGTTTGTTTTGTTATTTTAGAAGTGTATACTTTTTTATCTTCTCATTTTTGCGCCCTACTTTTCTTCTCTATTATTTCGTTATATTTGGGTCGGATCTTGGGTTGGATTTCGGGTTCTGAAAACGATTTTAACCCCCCCGCTTTCAACTATACCCCTTCTTCTTTCCTCCATTTCTTTTTTCTTTTCTTCTTTGTCTTTTCTTTCTGTATTTTGCCTTTCCTTCTTTTCTAATTCTTTTCTGGATTGTCAGCCACGCCATCATTTGGACTTGCTTGTTCTGCATGCTTCAATGGCGGGAATAGATATCCGTATTAGATATCCTGTATCATCCTCAATTGCTACCCTTTTATTTTATTACTTTATTCCAATATTATTTCTTCTGCCGTCCCCGCCCCTTCCTGTCCATCTCCTTCATCCCACTCCCCCGATTTCTGTTCCATAAAAATATCCCTCTCCCATCGAAATGCCCTACTCTGGCCCAACCGCACCTGGAGACGGGACGACTCTACAGCTACAACTTGTCCATTTATTTCCGGTGAATTAAGTTATACTGAAACCTGAATAAAACGTTTAACAATTGAGATCATTAATTTCTATAATGCAAGACATCTCAATTCCGAAAAGTCAGAAAGCCCATTCAAAATATTTCTCTCTTCTCCCGGCCGCGCTGCCAGCCCGGATTCTTCTTGAACTTACGGTTTCGTCCTGCCATCTTTCCTCCATTTCTTGTACTAGCTTCATCTCAAGCTTAAAAGAAAAATAATTGTAAAACGTAGGTAAAAAGGGTAAAATGTTTTGATAATGTTGCTGATAGCTCTGTTGTGCAGAGGATGTTCAGAAAAATATAACCGAGACTCCCCCCCTCCCTCCCTCCACCTTATCCAGAAATACCTCATAAGCAAGTATATGAAAGAGAAGGACGATGGCAACGCTCATAAAAGAAATGTGATCAAAAGAAACATGATTGAAATATCTGATATTCTTGTTCCCTCTCGCTCTCAACTTCTTCATTGCATATCATCGTTTCATTCAACCCCTCCGCTCCCCCCCTTTTTTTTTGGAAGAAGAAGAAAGAAAAAAGAAGAAAAAAAAAGGAAAAAGAAAAAAGGGGTTCATCATATCAATGGAAACTGCAACAACCGCCCATGTCAGCCTGAGCTATCTATCTATCTGAAAAGAAAAGAACAAGGATAAATGGAAATGATAAAAACAAAAACAAAAACCATCAGCAGTAGACAATCAATCAATGTTCCTGAAACCACAGTTGCAGTGCTTGGAGGGATAAAAGGAGGAGAAGGGGGGAAAGGAGAAGGGAAGAGAGATGAAGGAATACCTCTCATTTTCTCATACTGTTTACTCAAATTTTATTCCTTCATCTCTCTTCCCTTCTCCCCCCCATCCCCCCCTTTTACCCCTCCAAGCACTGCAACTGTGTTTTCAGGAACATTGATTGATTGTCTGTCACTGACAGTTTTTGTTTTTGTTTTTGTCATTTCCATTCATCCTTGTTCTTTTCTTTTCAGATAGATAGATAGCTCGGGCTGACACGGGTGATTGTTGCAGTTTCCATTGATATGATGAACCCCTTTTTTCCTTTTTTTTTTTTTCTTCTTCCTTGGATTTTTGGATTTTTCTTCTCCTGACGATTTCGAGGGGGGGCGTTTACGTGACACTTGACACTTGATAGGACATATGACCTGTAGGAGGGGGGAAATGGATGAAAAATGAAAATGGATTTGAATTTGAAAAGAGGAAGAGAAAGGGAGAAAACAACATTAATGAAAAAGAAAAAGAGAAGAAGACATAAGACTCAGATGTAGAAACAGAAACATAATATGGTGAAATGAAATGAACAAGGGAGAAGGAAAATTGAAGGAAAGTGACCCAACAAAGAAAAGGGTTCAGTATCAATTTGGCCACGAGGACATCTGTTCAGGTGAACAAATGTAAATGAGGGAAAAAGAAACAGGAAAAGAAAAGAAAAGCTGGCTGAGAATGGAGGAAAGAAAGCAGGTTAAGCTAAAATGAGAATAGGGAATGAAATTGATAAGGAAGGAGAGTCGTGCCAGTTGCAGTTTTCAAATAAGGTAACGGGACATAATAAGTAAGATATGTTGTGAGGCCGTCATATACGAAAGGAAAGCGAAAATGTAAACGTAATGAATGATGTGAAAAGGAGGGAAAGGGGAAGAAAGAATATATTAGCTACGGCGAGGAGGTGCAGGGGAAAATATGAGATGGATGAATGACAGTGAGAATGTAAGGAACGTGAATGCAACGAACGGTTAACTTAGACGACTCGGAATCAAAGGAAACCGCTGAGCAAAAGAAAACAGAACAAAACAATATCAAAATCCATCAACAGCAAAGTGATTTTTTGTCACTTTTTTTCAATTCTATAAAAAAATAATTGTGTCAAATTGAGAAACGGAGAAAGGTCTCCATTCCATTTCCTATCAGCCTCCAAATCAGAAAATAAAATAAAATTGACCTCCCTTTAATGTTAATGTCAATTTCAAATTCCAATTACCAATTCCAGGTTCATGGTGGATGTTCCGCCCGAATCCGATCCAGCTCTTCAAACTTCCCCTTCGCCTCCTCAACCCACACTTCCAACTTCATCTCTCCAGCATCCACCGTCCGGACGGGCACCGTTTTCGCCCGGCCGCGCGAGCCGCGCCTGCTGCCATTCATCTCACCGCCTCTATTCCGGGCCGTAGTACTGCTGTTGTCGAAGGAGTTGTCATTGTCATTGCCGTTACCAGTGCCGGTGGGATTCAGGTGGCGGGTTGTATTATTATTACTATTAGGCTTAGTGTTGTTCAGGTCAACTTTTCTATCGGGCTCAGCGGCGATCCAGAGTTGTTCCTCTTTGGTGACGCCGGCGGGGCTGTCAGCGTTGTTGCGCAGGACGATGTGGAGGGTGGGCGTGTATTCTTCATCGCGGGGGAGAGGAGTTAAGCGAGCACAGGCAGAGGCGAGTCTGGCTAGGACGGCGCGGAATTGGGCTTCGAGGTCGATGGGGGCGGGGCGGGGATGAGTTTGGGGCTTTGTAGTTGATGGTAGTTGTTGTTCTTGTTGATCAGCAGACGAGGAGTTCTCGAATGGAGTGTGGATGTCACTAGCCGGCACCTCTGGTATCTGGGTCATGTCGAAGGTATATCTCTCGAGAGGGCGGTTGGTGCTGGCGGAGAGAATGACGACGGAGACAGCAGCGACGGAGCATTTTAGTAGTTGGGCCTCGACGGCAGCACAGGCATCAGTTACCCAGGTGCAGACTTTGGGGTGCCTTGACTGTCTGACGGGGTGGTTGAAGTGGCGGACGGGGAGGAAGGTTGGCTGGGGATAGATGGCGCGCAGATATAGGATCTGGTGGATGCTGACAGCCAGGAACGAGGCCACCGAGGAGGCCAGAGCAGCATAGGTATCTGGAAGCGAAGATGTACGGTGATTGTGGGTGTGATTGTTATTGTTGTTATTGTTGCTGTTCGTCGTCGTCGTCGTAGTGGTGGTGGAGGTGGTAGTAGTGATGGTGGTGGTAGTGCTCCCGGCGCAGTTATTATTGTTAGGGGATGGTGCAGGGGCAACAGTCGCGGCGGGTTGGGCGCTGAGGGGGAGGCCGGAGGGGGTAGGGGACAGCCGCAGGTTGCAGCCACTGGCAACGCCCTTGTTGGACTGGGCCATGGCGTCAGAAAAGAAGGGGGTTGTGTTGGTAATAAATAGCTGTAGGGATATTTATTTATCTGCTGATGTATGGATGGATGTATGTATGTATGTATGTATGTATGTATGTATGTATGTCTGTAGAGATATAGGATGTGGGCATTAACTATTCACGGTGTGGGGTGGCGGTGGTACTGGTAGAGGTCACGACAGCAACACTGGCAACCACAGCGACCACGACAACACGAGCCGGAGTAGCGGTGGTTGTGCAAGAGCAGCGGGATAGTGGATTCGGCCTGTGGTTGAGTCCAAGCATTGAGCATCTCTCGCGGGCAACGGTCTGTGACTTGGATATAGGGTTCCCGAAAGCAACAGGGTGTATGTGTGTGTGTGTGTGTGTGTGTGTTAGATGGTGGTTGCTGAGGGTGTGGTGTTGAGGGGAGGGAGGGGCTCTGTCTGCCTGGCCAGTTAAATATGGCTGAAACAAAGTCTACCTATCTATGGACAGGAGGACACAGACACCAAATCAAGGGCGGTAGCTATTTAGCAGGAGGCGAGCAACAGGCAGTATTTAAGCAAGTAGCAGGAATCGGGGCTTTTTTGTACCTGGGGGTGTAGGCAACGGAGGACAGCTTGGGATCAAGCGAGAGATATAACAAAGAGCGAACAGAGAGCCAATAGCCAAAAAGAAGAAGACGATCCGCGAGAGAAGAAGAGACAGAAACTGACGATCCACCAAAAGCACGAGAGAAGTCCGCTAGTTAACTAGCTAAAACACTAATTCACTCACTCACTCACTCTCTCGCAGCCCTGGTGCAGCAGCAGCAGCAGTGGCAGTGGCAGCAAAAGAAAAACAAAAGGGAAAAGAGAAATATAAGATAGGGGAAATATCAAGAAGAAGAAGAAGAAGAAGAAGAAGAAGAAGAAGAAGAAGAAGTTGTTAAGAGTAAGAAAGTTGTAAACGAAAAGACAAGGAACTAAACACTCCAACTGAGTATCAAGTATCAAGTCAAGCACCACGGTGTATACAAGTATGGTCAGGTATAGTCAGAAGTGGCTGAGGAGGTAATATTAGTGTGTATGTACATGTACATGTGCATTGTACAGTAACTACATCATACCAGTCCATGGCCGCCATTTCTCTCATCTCTATCCTGTGTGGAAGGGAGAAGAAAGAGATACAAAAGAGACGATGGAGATAGGTCGAGGCACAGTTCTGCGAGTATGTATGGGTAGTTATAGATTTGATATCGCGATAGTTATGGATGGATATCTAGATTGAGTATACAGTATACAGAATCCTGATATTTAAATTACAACCCGACTCCTTATTTTTTTGGTTTCTACGCTGTAACTATGTAATATCAAATATATATACATATATATCCACCGCGTCATTCAATCAAACCTGATATCCGGAATTTCGCTGATGAATATAACTCTCATTCCCAACTCACCTGTTTTCTTCCCAATATTTGTTCTAATGCTTATTTCCGCCAGCCGCTAGAGCTCGAAGCCTTGGAATCAGCTGCTCAAGTGTTTTATTGTGGCTGTTGCACCTGCATCTGTGGAGTGCCTCTAGCAGGGCTGGTAAAGGCTGACTTGAGTTTATTTACTCCATGGATCATTTTCTCTCTTTGGTATAATAATGTATGTACTCTGTATGTACTAGTAGACTGACAACGCCGCTTCAATGTTCTTGGAAGACTTAGCGGAGCATTTCCATGGATCCAATAGCCAGAAACTAGGATTGTTCAATACAAGGTAGGGGTTCATCAATCAGCCATGTTGATAACTAGGCAGCCTGTTTACGTGCTTGTAGCCTATTTCCTGGTTCAAGATAAGTTCAAGATAGTTAAAGATAGTTAAAAAGAATCGCTGGAATGGTAATACCCGGGGCGTGCCATTGCGGTATTACCCCGCTATACGGTAATCTATCCCCTCCCGCGGGTGTGTCCCAGCCGCGTAACGCACGCTGTCGGGTGTATATATCATTGCCTCTCTTAATTATGATATCACTTACTGAATTCTTTATCAGATGTCCGGGGAAGAGGAGGTGGGATGACTGACTGGTGGTTGATGGAGCGCTATATGCAGTTTACCAATACGCGGATTCCGTCAGCGTTGGCAGGAACAAAGACCCAAAAAAACATCCAATCATGCAAACTCATCCAATCCAACCAACAAACAACTCTCTCACTCCTTACACACTCTCACACTCCTACACTCCAAAACCCCTCCAACAACAAGGCCGGATAAGGAACAAAGCCAAACACAATATCAGCATAATAAGCATACCAGCACCTCCAGTATAACCTGGTGCCCGCATCCAACAATGGAGCAACAGCTGCTCCAGCTGCTGGCAGACACCCAATCCCCTGCCCCCGCGACCCGCAACACCGCAGAAGTCCAAATCCTCACCCTTTACTCAAACGAAAACTTCCCCTTATCCCTCGCCTCCATCGCCTCCCACAAGTCCGTCCCAATCCATCTCCGCCAATCCGCCCTGCTCGTCCTGCGCACCTTCGTGCTCGCAGCATGGTCTCCGCACCTGGAAGAGTTCAAGGGCCAGGTCCTCGTGAACGACGCGAACAAGGCCCAACTGCGTCGCGTCCTGCTCGAACTAGCGACCTCTGACGATGCCGGTGAACGCAAAGTGAAAGCCTCCGCCAGCTATGTCGTGAGCAAGATTGCCAGTGCCGATTTCCCCGAGGAGTGGCCTGAGCTGCTGCCCACTCTGCTGCAGATTATCCCGAGTAGTAGCGAGGTGCAGCTACACGGCGCGCTGAGGGTGCTGTCCGACCTGGTCGAGAGTGGGTTTAGCGAGGAGCAGTTCTTCACCGTCGCGAGGGAGCTCGTGTCAACTGTCTTTGCCATCGCGACCAACCCGTCGATAAAACCCGTGCTGCGGGCCCTGGCTGTGTCTGTCTTCCGCGCGTGTTTTGATACTCTGGAAATGGTCATTGAGCAGCATAAGGTGGCCGTTAAGCAGTTTCTGGATGAGGCGTTGAATGGCTGGTCACCGTTTTTCATTGCAACCATGAAGGAGCCGCTGCCTGCGACCCCGACTGAGGAGGAGGAAGCTGGAGATGGGCCTGGGCCGGAGGAGTGGCGGGGGATGATTGCGTTGAAGCTGCAGGTTGTTAAGGTATATATACTCAAGCAATTCCACTATCCTATTTTAATTGATGTGATCTTTACAACTGGGGACTCTCTGCTAATATGAGTGGTGTTTGTCCTTTGTCGTTTTTTCTTCCTTGAAGACATTGATGAAAATACGCGCTGTGTTCCCGGCCCTTCTTACCCCACAGAGCACATTGCTCTTCAGCACCGTCTGGACCGAACTATCCACCACACAAACTGCATATCAGGAACTATTCATCTTTGATGAGAGACAAGGGCGGTCCGAGGACGCCGATGGTCTGCCATATACACTCGATTACTTAGTTCTCGAAGAACTGGACCTAATGCAAGCATTGCTCCGGGCGCCCCCTGTTAAAGCAGAGTTACAGAGCCAATTACAAGCGGCAGGGAGCGCTGCAAGCACTTCTAGCTGGCTCCCAGAAGTCATGAAACTAGTTGTGTCCTATGCGCAGATCACGACTGAGGAGGAAGGGCTTTGGGATATCGATGTTAATCTGTTCCTGTCGGAGGAAACGTCGCTCACGGCCAACTACACGCCGCGCGCTTGTGGAGGGGATCTAATCATTAGACTTGGTGAATGGATCAAGGGCACTACGGTTGATGGATTGCTTGCTTATACCAATGCGCTTTTCTCGGATTCGACCTCGTCGTATGTAGATTATATCTTGCCCTCCTTACACCCACCCATGACATATACATTCATTGCTAACAATTTATTTCCAGGTGGAAACTACGTGAAGCTGCCCTTTTCATCCTAACGCAGCTCCTCCGCGACTTTAACGACGTAGACCAACATATTTCCCTTGAGGCAGCGAATGGATGCAATGAATTCGTCCAGTTCTGCATGGCACAGGAAGATATTTTCCTTCGAGCCCGTGGTTACCTTGTTTCAGGAATAATTGCAAGGACCGCCGGCGAAGGATTCCATCAGACTGCGCTATCATACCTCGAGGCGTCCATCAAGGCCATCACGGAGGATCCATCAGAAATCGTCAAAGTCTCATGTATCCGAGTCCTGCAGGACTTCCTCCCCGCACTTCCATCATCCATGACAAAACCCCTGCAAATTCCTGTCATCACGACCTTGTCGGACTTCCTGTCTTCCCGCGACTTGCGTGAGATGTTAGACAGCGACGATCTTAAATTTACCCTGCTTGATACCCTTCGTGATGCGATTATGGTCAACCCAAGCGTTGTGTTATCGTCTATTGCCCTTGATGTTCTTTTCAACATCGCCAGTAACGGGACAAGTAACTTCCAGCTGGCAACAATAGTCACAGAGACCTTTGAAGATGTTGTCCAATATATCTCTCAGCAGGGAGCTGAGGCATACGTCCGCCTTTGCGAAAAGGTGTTGCCGTCCTTGACCGGCGCAATCGATGTTGGAAACATGACCCATGAAAACGCCCTCACAACCCTAGCTGCAGACCTTATCCGCGCTCTGACTGAATACGGCCTCGAGCCACTCCCACAAGGGCTTGTTGCAACAATAATGCCTAAACTCAACCGCCTCCTCCTCAGCTCGACAGAAAGCAACGTCCTCCCCGCCGCCACCATCGCTGTGAAAAACATGCTCCAGCACGACTCCACCCAATTCCTTAGCTGGCAGGATCCACAAACAGGCAAGGGTGCCGTCGAGGTCGTCCTGATCATCATCGACCACCTCCTCAGCCAATCCGTCGACGACAACGCAGCCGAAGAAGTTGGCGGCCTCGCCGCGGAGCTCGTCGAGAAAGCCGGCTCCGAGAAGCTAGGCCCCTATCTAACCCAACTCCTCCATGCCGTCGCGCACCGTCTCGCCACCGCCCAAAAAGCACAATTCATCCAATCGCTAATCCTCGTCTTCGCACGGCTCTCCCTCATCAGCGCGCGAGAAGTGGTCGACTTCCTCTCCACGCTGACGATAGATGGGCAGTCCGGGCTCGCGGTGGTGTTTTCCAAGTGGCTCGAGAACAGCATCACGTTCGCGGGCTACGACGAGATTCGGCAGAACGTCATTGCGCTGTCGAATATATATCAGCTGGATGACCCTCGTGTGGCGCAGGTGCAGGTTAAGGGGGAGTTGATTATCCAGGACACGGGCCGCATTAAGACGCGCTCGCAGGCGCGTAGGGATCCGGATCAGTATACCATTGTCTCTGCGCCGTTGAAGATTATCAAGGTCCTTGCGGAGGAGCTTGTGTCCGCGACGGGCAATCGGGATATGGATGCTGCTGCGGCCGGGGCGGTAGCTGCGGGTGTAGGGAAAACTGGAGACGATGAAGTGGAAAGCGACGATGAGGAGAATGACGATTGGGAAGACATTTCGGGACCGGGCAATGTGCTCGATCTGGGCTTGGGGATTACGAAGCAAGAGCTCATGGGGTATTTGGGTGAGGATGGCGGGCCGGGGGCCGGGACGGCGATGAGACAGCGAGATGATGAGACGTTGGCGTATTTGATGGGGTTCTTCGGGGAAGTTGCGCCTACGCCGAGATTTCAGGAGCTGTTTGTGTTGTTGAATCCGAGGGAGCAGGAGGCGTTGAGGAGTTTGGGGCAGTAGATGAGGGCATGAATTCTTTTGGGGGAAGACGGTTGCTGGACTGAGTGAAGGCTTAGGGCGGATTGGTTGGTTATGAGATCGATCGATCACCAGGGTGATATGTGCATATGGAAGAGAGCGGTGGCATCCTTTTTCCTGATGGAATGAAGTTTGGGTTTTCACTTTGTTTCCTTTAATGATAAATGAATTTAGATACACAGAACGGCCGACCTCCCCCTTTTTTTTTGATTTGAGGTGGCGCAGAGATACATACTAGTTACTACTTTCTATGACAGATAACTTCAAATTGACTGGTTGGTACATAGTGATATGTACTCAACAATGCAAATAGTTATCGCTATGACTGAATGATTTCTTTTCGTTTTCTGTAGTGTTTTCAAGATACTTTCAAGCCTATACGCTGTCTGGTAAGGTACAGAATTTAGGGCAAGCAGGGTGATTAGTCAGCCCGTCCCCCCACCGCCAAGCCTTTCTCCGTCGTCATCCAACATGGAACTCCCTCCACCGTCTGCGTCGTTGTGTTGCTTTGAATTGCTCCTGTCTTCTTCTATCCTGTGAATACAAGTACATAGACCTAGATCTACATCTCTTCGCTACTTCGCACGCCCTGAACCGTCTGAGCGTCGGGACTCCCATCTTGCCATTTCTCTAATTTCCACCCCTCCATTCCTCCGAACCAACCCCAATCAACTCCGCCCATCCTAAACCCTCACCAACAGCAACAGCAACAGCCCCGCATCCCCTTTGTTGTCTGTAAAGGAAAGGAACAGGAACAGGAAAGGAAAGCCTTGTTTGCCGAGAACAAGGTTTCCCGCCCTCTAGCCAGCCTTCACAATTCAATCTCACGCCGACATCCCGGAGCGGACTGGGAAGCTGGGTAAGCGCAAGGCTTCCGCAGGCGAAGAAGATTCAGAGCGGCAGCAGTATACTCTTCTGCAACATCCCGAGAAGAAGGTTTTGAAGGTATGTTTTTTGTTGTTGTTGTTGTGTTTGTTTAGATTCAGTGAAGACCGTGAGGGGAAGTAAATATCTGTACCAGTTTTGGAAATATGAAATCTTTCGGGATCAACCATGCTTCGTGACGTGACTGTGACTGCGCCGCTCGTTGCCTAAACTTTTTTTTATTTTTTATTTTTCTTTTTCCTCTTCTACTATGCAGCCCCACGCAGGATACAGACTGGGGCTATATAAAAGAGTACCTTGCTTGAAGTCTTCTGCCTTCGTCTCTCAACCTACCTCAGTTTTTGTTCTTCCGTGCTACCCATGCTTCTTACATTTCCTCTCTCTCAAGGCTCAACATTAGCTAACTCGACACGATATCCACTTATTAGAACGGCGCAATGCAGAGCAGTCCACGGGAAATCGTGGACAAGTCCACGCATCCGGAGATCGACGAGTCGTTGTATAGTCGGCAACTGTAAGGCATATTACCCGCTGCCCCTCTGATGTGTTTTGAAGTGGATGGTAACTCATGACATCGATCCCCGCCCCCAGATACGTCCTCGGCCATGAAGCTATGAAGCGGATGGGATCTTCCAATGTTCTCATTGTGGGGCTTAAAGGCTTAGGTGCTGAGATCGGTATGTTTAATACGGTAACCCCCGCGGTATGATGTGCTACATATTAACCGCTCTTTGATAACAGCCAAAAATGTCGCCCTCGCCGGTGTCAAGTCCCTCACTCTTCACGACCCTACCCCTGTCGCCATCTCAGATCTCTCCTCTCAATTTTTCCTCAGCCCAGATGATGTTGGAAAATCCCGCGCCGAAGCTACCGCCCCTCGCGTCGCGGAATTAAATGCATACACACCCGTCACCATCCACGGCTCGAAAAACTTGACGGACGATTTATCCCAGCTTAACATGTACCAAGTTGTTGTTCTAACGTCCACCCCGCTGCGAGACCAGCTGGCTATTGCTGAGTATTGCCACAAGAACAAAATTTTTGTCATTATCACGGATACCTTTGGCCTGTTTGGCTACATCTTCACCGACTTTGGCGAGAATTTCACAGTAGTTGACGCGACTGGGGAGGAGCCCACGAGCGGTATTGTTGCTGGAATTAACGAAGAAGGCCTAGTGTCTGCGTCCGACGAGGCTAGGCATGGACTAGGGGAAGATGACTATGTCACCTTTACTGAAGTTAAGGGCATGGAGAAACTGAATAACTCTGAACCACGTAAAGTCGACATTAAGGGCCCATATACCTTCTCTATCGGAGATGTCTCTGGACTGGGGACTTATCAAAGTGGCGGTATCTTCACTCAGGTCAAGATGCCCAAGACGCTAAACTTCCAGTCCTTTGAGAAACAGCTCAAAGATCCGGAAATTCTAATTACCGATTTCATGAAGATGGACCGACCGGCCAAGGTCCACCTTGGTGTTCAGGCGCTCCACAGGTTTGCAGAGGCTCACGGTGGCAAGTTCCCACGACCCCACAATGAGAGCGATGCGCAGGAGGTCATCAAGATCGCGTCTAGCATTGGAGGCGAAGTTGATGAAGATATCCTTCGGGAGCTCAGCTACCAGGCACAGGGAGATTTGAGCCCAATGACAGCTTTCTTCGGTGGTCTTGCTGCACAAGAAGTGCTGAAAGCCGTCTCAGGCAAGTTCCATCCCGTCGTTCAATGGTACTACTTCGACTCCCTTGAATCCCTTCCCACATCGGTCACGCGATCTGAGGAAGAATGTGCCCCCTTGGGAACCCGATACGATGGTCAGATTGCGGTGTTTGGAAAGACCTTCCAGAAGAAGATTTCCGAAGTTAAGGAGTTCCTTGTTGGGGCTGGCGCAATTGGATGTGAGATGCTGAAGAACTGGGCAATGATTGGTCTTGCTACCGGCGAGAATGGTAAAATCACGGTCACGGATATGGATCAAATCGAAACCAGCAATCTAAACCGTCAATTCCTGTTCCGCCCTAAGGATGTTGGCCAGCTGAAGAGTGACACGGCTGCGAAGGCTGTGCAGGCGATGAACCCTGACCTCCAGGGTAAAATTGTATCCTTGCGAGATCGCGTAGGCGCCGACACTGAGCATATCTTTAGCGAGGATTTCTGGGAACAGCTGGATGGAGTAACCAACGCTCTGGATAATGTTGAGGCGCGAACATATATTGACCGACGTTGCGTGTTTTTCCAAAAGCCACTGCTGGAAAGTGGAACGTTGGGCACCAAGGGAAATACCCAGGTTATCCTACCTTGGCTCACGGAGTCATACTCTAGTTCCCAGGATCCCCCCGAACAGTCTTTCCCGATGTGCACGCTGAGGAGTTTCCCCAACCGGATAGAGCACACGATTGCATGGGCGCGAGAGCTCTTCCAGACAAGCTTCGTCGGGCCGCCCGAATCTGTAAATTTATACCTTACCCAGCCGGACTACATCAAGACGACCCTGAAGCAGTCTGGCAATGAGAAACAGACGCTGGAGATTCTCCGCAATTTTCTGGTGACAGACAAGCCTCTCAGCTTCGACGACTGCATCGTCTGGGCGCGCCACCAATTCGAGGCCAACTTCAACAACGCGATTCAGCAGCTCTTGTATAACTTCCCTAAGGATTCTGTTACGTCAAGTGGAACCCCCTTCTGGTCAGGCCCCAAGCGTGCGCCTACCCCCCTAAAATTCGACGCCACAAATCCTACGCACCTTTCATTTATCGTTGCTGCTGCAAACCTCCATGCATATAACTACGGAATTAAGAATCCTGGAGCGGATAAGGGCCATTATCGAAAAGTTCTAGATGACATGATCGTTCCCGAATTCACCCCCAGTTCCAGTGTTAAAATTCAAGCCAGTGACAATGAACCCGACCCGAACGCGCAGTCAGGTTTCACTGATGAGGAAGAACTCAAGCGTCTCATCGCTGCTCTCCCATCACCTAAATCTCTGGCAGGATTCCAATTAGATCCCGTCATATTTGAGAAGGATGATGATAGCAACCATCACATTGATTTCATTACAGCAGCCAGCAACCTACGCGCTGAGAACTACGACATCCAACCAGCAGACCGACACAAAACCAAGTTCATTGCCGGCAAGATCATCCCGGCCATCGCCACTACAACAGCATTGGTCACCGGCCTCGTGATCCTCGAACTCTACAAGATCATCGACGGCAAGCCGCACGCCGAGCAATACAAGAATAGCTTCGTCAACCTCGCCCTGCCATTTTTCAGCTTCATCGACCCGATCGCCAGCCCCATGGACAAGTACCACCACAAGGGCCGCGAGATCTGGTTCCACAAGCTCTGGGACCGCTTTGAGGCGGATGATGTCGTGCTTCAGGACTTTTTGAAGAGTTGTGAAGAGGAGAATGGACTGGATATTGGCATGATTAGTTCTGGGGTTAGCTTGCTGTACCCTGTTTTCAACAAGGGGCCGGACGTGATGAAGAAGCGGTTGCAAATGAAGTATGTCCCTCCTTCTTCCCTTTCTTTCCACCGTGCGTTTGTACATCGTGCCATATACTAATTTCGATTGCGTGCAAATAGGTTGAGCGAGCTCGTCCAATCCGTCAGCGACAAGGCGATCCCTGAGCATCAGAAATATGTCATCTTCGAGTTTTTGGCACGCGATGATACCGATGAAGATGTCGATGTACCGTATGTTAGCGTGAAGGTGGACAAGCCGGCGAAGACGGATACTGAGATGAAGGTTTAGATCTGGATAGAGTGAAATAGAATGATCAATTGAGTATTTTAAACTAGGATTCTTGTTGCGCTTTTTGCAGGCGAGAAATGGGGGGAGGGAATGAGTGTGTTTTGGGGGGGTTGATGTTGTAAATTTGTTATGCTCTTTTTTGTTTTCCTATATTGAGTTGCGGGTTAAACTAAAAACGAGTTTCTCTTTTTTTTTTTCTCTTCACCGAAGGTATGAAGCTATTGATTAAAAACAAGAATGGGGGAGGTTATAGTGAGATAGATTTAAAAAGGGGGCAAATAAATCCACAAAGCACTTTTTATTCCGCCATGAAATCATATTTTTTACCTTCGAGCACTCAGCCATGTCATCATCGCTGCAGCATCTTAGTCATCCCGGCCAGAATTCCGCCGGCGGGATTATCAATCAACCACCAATTGACAAGATTCCCCGCAGACAATAATATATAAGAAGAATGGAATATAAATACAATAGCTTGAACATTGCACAATTCTTTGTTACTCTCTACCTTCCTTTTATTCCTCTCGAAATACCAAACTCGATCAGTTTTATTTAATGTCCTCCACGCTCTCCCGCGCCCGGCAACTCTTCTCATACTTCAGCAGCAGTATAAAGCCTCCTACGTCACCGATATCATCAGCAACAGTAGCAGCAGCAGCAACATCACCACCAACCACAAGAAACATGGCGGTAAATTGTATCCCCCCTCCCTTCCCATACATATCTATCCCATATTTCTAATTCATTATATTATGTTTTGCAGACCGGTAATGACCAGCCAATCACCCAGTGGACGAGCCTATTGGATCCAACCGGGGAATTCAAGCGCGGCCAATCTGCTTTCCGCAATTGGATCTCCAGGGAGCCCGGGGCGCGATTCCCGCCTGAGAAGGGCCGGTATCATCTTTATGTCTCGTACGCGTGTCCGTGGGGTATGTTATCTTCTCTTCATTTTCTGCTTCCTCACTGCATCCGATGTTAGTTCAAATTTGATTGTTGATATCAACATATAATTTACATAGCCCACCGGACCCTCATCACTCGCAAACTCAAGGGGTTGGAGGACATAATCTCCTTCACTTCCGTGCATTGGCATATGGGAGAGCTGGGATGGCGGTTCGCAACCGCTGAGGAAAATCTTCCCGGGGAGAATTCGGGACCAGACCCCCATCATCCGGGCTTTAAACATCTCCGGCAGATTTATTTTGATGTCGATCCGGAGTACAAGGGAAGGTTTACTGTGCCGACGTTGTATGATACGAAGACGAAGACGATTGTTAGCAATGAGGTATGTATGAATCTCACTGCGGCGGGGAGGGATGGGCTGTTTTTTTGGTGGAGGAGAGGTTGGTGGAGTAGGAAAGCTTAGCTTCACAGGGGCTAACTCGAGTTAATTTTTTATAGAGCTCTGAAATTATTCGCATGTTATACACTGAGTTCGACGATTTGCTGCCGGAGAAGTACAAGAACGTTGATCTGTTCCCGGAGCACCTGCGGAAGGACATCGAAGAGACTAATGAATGGACGTATAACAACGTGAACAACGGGGTTTATAAGTGCGGGTTTGCAACGTGAGTATATCCCGTTGATCTTTTTTATCATGAGACACAAAACAAGAAAACCCCAGTTTATCCAATGCACTGCCTCCTGGCTAACATAATAATCCACAGGAAACAAGAAGCGTACGAAAATGCAATAGTCCCCCTCTTCGCCAGCCTCGACCGCATCGAATCACACCTCCAATCCAGAATCGCCGCCAACGCTTCCAAAAACACTCCCACCTACTACTTCGGTGACACCATCACGGAGGCCGACATTCGCCTATACACCACCATCGTCCGCTTCGATCCTGTCTATGTGCAGCATTTCAAGGCGAACATCCGCGACATTCGCTCCGGATACCCGGCCATCCACCACTGGCTACGCCAGCTATATTGGGATGTCCCGGCTTTTGGGGAAACGACGCAGTTTGAACATATCAAGAAGCATTATACGACAAGCCATACGCAGATTAATCCATTTGGGATTACGCCTGTGGGGCCGCTGCCGGATATATTGCCGAAGGATAAGGAGGTGGCGGCCGTGGCTGCAACGAGACAGTAAATTGTCAAAGGTTCTACTTCTCTTTCGCGCTTTGTGCCTTTACATTCACTTATTTATCTTGTCTCTCTATTTATTATCTGTCTATTTATCTCTCTATTTATTATAGAAAAACCAACTTTTCCATGCAAAAAACGCTGTAACGTGACATCCATCAAAAATATGTAGTGGCGCCGGCCCAGTGGCATTGTCCTAGCAATTGCTCCTACCCTACCACCCCTACCCCCTCTACCACTTCCACTACCTCTACCCGTCTCTTACTACCCTCTACCACATCTATCACCATCATCAGATTAATCATACAGGCCACAGAGCCAGCTATTCAATCTCATGAATTCAAAGAAATGCACATGACATCACATGAGATCATATTACAGTGTTTTTTGTATGAAAAGGTTGATTTTTCTATAATAAAGAGAGAGATATGTAATATAATGTAGCTAGCTTCTCTAATCTTTCTATTTATTATAGAAAAATCAACTTTTTCATAATCTCATCAAAAATATTTGCTCAGCTCAGCTCTGCTCTCAGCTTATACAGCTCAGATCAATCTTCAAATCTTCATTCTTTTATTCATTCTGTTTTTTTCATATATTCTCTACAGTATTTACATTTTTTATACTCTTCTCTATATTCATTTTTGATCTCAGTGTTCATGACATGCACTGCTAAATGCTCCGTAACATGATCTCATGTGATGTTATGTGCATCTCTTTGAATTCATGAATGAGATTGAACAGCCAGCTCTGTGACCTGTACAGCTCTGATTAATCTGATAATGATGATAGGGGTGATACAGGGTGGAAGAGGGTGGGTGGTAGGGGTGATAGAGGTGGTGATGATGGTGGGGTGGTAGAGGGGGTAGAGAGTAGAAGTAGAGAGTGGAAGTGATTAGGGGGGGCTGTAGGGGGGGCTGTAGGGTAGTAGAGGCGGTGGTGGTGGTAGAGGGGATAGAGAGTGAAGAAGGTGGAAGGGGTGGTAAAGGGGGGGGTAGAGGTAGGTAGAGGGTGGAAGTGGTAGGACGGGATAAGGTATTTTCCAACATAGATTTGCATGTTAGGTTGAACGAGACGCATTCCTCGTGCGCTTGTTGGCTGTTTCCACTACACCCACCCCCTCCCATCAGAGCGGCAGAGGTATGCATGTACTGAGGCATCTTTTTCCGCCCATCAAACTTCGTTTGGCTCCTTGGATTTCTCCTGAGCCTATTTAAAGATGATGCCCCATGGTTTCGCCCGCCAATGATTCAAAGCATTCGAGCATACTTAATTCTTAATCGTAAAAAAGTTTCCGAAAAGGAGGTCCAGAGTCTCTCATGTTTGCGATCGAGAGTAGCCCTTACAACTCCATGAATAAACAGTCCAGGATGCATAAGTTATTCATCCTATGGGTTTTATATATTCTTTTTGTGAAACTACCCCCGCTATCATCTATCTACCCCTCCTCCCATGTATATAAGATGCGCCCGGAGCAGAAGGAAGCGCATATAAAGAAAGTCACATCTGCCATATTCCCTACACACCAGCCTTCCAAGACCTTATCTAACCATATCATACCTTTCATTAACAAGCGGCGACACGATGCCATCCTCAATCCTCCTCCAAAACTCAGCAATCATCGTCCCTAGCTCCAGGGCAAGCACTTATGCTGTCCCACTGAGCGGGCACTCCCGTCTCATCGAGGGCAACATAATCACCCGCATAGCTCCGCATGCGGATGTCCAGGCTCCCTCTGCGGACACGGAAGTCATTGATTGTCGTGGCAATATTGTATCGCCGGGCTTCGTTGATACGCACCATTCATCTCTGGCAGACGCAGCCGAAGGGCAGGCATGCGGATCATTCGTTGATGGAGTACATGCCTTCTGGTATGTGGCATGCCATTTGCTGTTTATTTCGTTGCTGTTGACTGAGGCGGTAAGGTTTCTATTTGAAGTAATGAATGGAATCTTGGGGCGGATGTATGTTCTGGTTGTTCTGTGAAGTTTTCACCTTGAATCTTACATTTCGATCTTTTCCATGTCCTGATACCCGAGATGCAGCAATATGTTAGTTGAGGAATACTAGTGAGCATTATGAGGCGACACATAGTTAACTGGTCGTATTCTCTGACCAGGAAACATGCAATGCTCGAACTATACGGCCAGCGATATTTCCCGGGGACAACTCGGTGGCTGTCTTGCCTCCATCGATGGCGCACATGAGCTACTCGGCAGCGCATGGTACGAGGATCTTTAATTTGAAGACCGCAAAAAGAGAATCTGTCTCTGAACTTCAACGTTACTCACTCCTGTTTAATTATCTTAGTCGAGAACGCCGTCTCCGTAAAAATTCCCTCGGGCATCCGCTCGATTTTCTGTTTCACTCCCACCGTAAGAGTGAAATCATGAGATCCCCATTTTACAGTGAACAAGGACATTTTCCCTGCATGGGTGTTCAAAACCATCGATAAACTCGCCCAGGTAGCTAGCTCCCCTTGGTGACGGCCGTATCTAGCTCGGCTTTGCATTGGACTTGTTCTTCTTGCCTAGGAAATGATTATCGAAATGTTTGAGCGGGTGACAAAGGCTGGAGTCAAAATTATCACAGCACATTACCTACATGGGATTTACGGTTAGTTTTTTGTTTCTTTTTTTCCCTCTGCCCTTTTGTTCCAGTGCCATACGTACCAAGTGCAACCGCTAACAATTGAAACCCGTTCCACCACCCAACGAAGACTACAATGGTGTACCCCTCGTCGACATACTCGACTCCTACAACCTCTTAGGCGCAAACATCATCCTCTCCGATGCCACCGACGTCTCTCCAGCCGCCGCGCAGAAGATCATCTCAACCAATGCCTTTGTCTCCAGCACCCCAGAAACAGAGTTACAAATGGGTCACAGATTACCCGTCTGCTTCCATGACAACATAAAGGACCAATGCTCGCTGGGCATAGACTGCCACTCCAACAACTGCTCCGACATGATCACGCAGAGGCGTCTGGGTTTACAATCTGCCCAAGCCGTGCGTAACGAAGAGCTGATCGAAAAGGGCGAAATACCCATTGTGAAGACCTCAGGGAGTGTTAGGTATGCGTTCCGCCTCGCGACGATACAGGGCGCCAAGTCTGTGCATATGCAGGACCAAATGGGGAGTCTGGTCGAGGGGCAAAGGGTGGATATTGTTGACGCGCTGAGTCCTGGTATGGTTTGTGCGGCAGAACACGATCTCATAGCGGCGATTGTGCTGCATGCGTCTGTAGCGGATATTGAGACGGTCAGTTGATGGGGTTGTTAGGAAGAGGGGTGGGAAGTTGGTGAAGTTAGCCGTCGAGGAAGGGATTGCAGGGATTGGTAAAGCGGAAGTTGTATGGGCGGATGTGGCGGAGCAGCTCGTTAGGAGTTGGGAGGATTCAGGAGAGGATTGAGAAGATTGATATGGACAAGGCACTTGAAGCGTTTCATAAGATCATGTAAGGATGTGGATAGAACTGTAGATTCTCGATTTGTTTTGGCTAGTTCTGCTCCCGTAGGTCACTAGGCACTCAAAGTCCATATAATCTGTGTTGAATGGGTTGAGGAAGTTGAAGTATATTTTCCAAGGTGGCCGTCTATCCTTTAGATAATGAATTGTAATTTTGCTTACCCCACGCTATATTTATTACTTATTTTTTGTATATATATCCAGGGTTTTAAAAAGGAAAAATATGTCGAGATGGTTGTATGTTGCCGCGGAGAGAATCCACGAATGTGCTCGCTATACTGTACATATGTACAGTACGCTGATGGAAGGAAATTGGGATAGGAACAGAATAAGATGCTCTGGTACGCCGCACGGCTATGCAAAAGAGAAAAGCGAAAAATAAAAAATAAAAACAGAAATGTGTTCAGGGTATTCTTGTCAAAGGCGAAAAAGAATAATGGAATACAAAAAAGAAAAAAAGAAAAATAAATAAATATTGAAATGTCAAAAAGTGGAATATAGAAAAGGACGAAGGTAGATAGATAAAAACAGGAAAATGGAAAGAAGCACTGCAGCGGCACGGCTCGTGGGGATCCTAGAGAATATATCATGGCCTCATATAGCATGCATGCATATATAAAAGGGATGGCGATGGATAGAACGGACTGGCCTGTGGAAGCCCTCTGCCGTTTGGCTCTAGAAAAGAGTAGATATATTTCCGGGTCGGTGGGACGATAAGAGTAATTTGATACACAAACATGCCTGTAGGGATGCTTTTAAGTTAAACCAAATAGCCGCTTCGAATTTTCGTACACGATGTAACTGATCGACACCGACGGGGCGACCTTTAGTAAATTCGGGGTTATTCCTCTAAACAGGCCGCGTATCCCTTCCTGACTTAATGTTTTGCGCGTTACATCGACAATGCCAGTGTATGTCGGGCTATGCAGGACGGTGCCTTGTGCCTGCAGTCTTGTGCGGAGAACATTCATCGGATAAACTATCGAAGCACTGAGGGCACCGCTGAAAGCACCGATAGCACCAGTGGCGAAATTGCTAAGGGGCACGTCGTCTTCATGACAGTGGTATATTCTAGCTTTGCGAGCTAGAAGAATTGACTTCAGGTATTCGAAGGTCGTGAGGTCGATCGCGGCGTATGGGAACATTCCAATCAGGCCAAGCGGCAAGCCGCGGAAGAAAGAGTGAATTCCATTACCCGTCCACATCTTTCTGGCGGTGGCCATGATGAGCCGGTTGCCTTGTAGTCCACCTTCAACCACTTCGCATTGCATGCGACTAGCAAAAATAGTAAGGATGTATGTATAGGGTAGAAAGGAATTCCACTGGAGGGAGATAGATAACTTACAATTTAAGCGTATCCAAAGGGTAAACAAAACATCTATGATAATAAGTAACTATCACGCCAAAGTGAACACGGAACGGACATACTGAGAAACCATTCCTCCGATACCACCAGCCAGGAATTGCGAGGTTGGGAGTAGATTTTTTGTATCGCCATGCCCCTCAAGGTTGGCGAACATACGTTTTGAAGCCTGAACTACATCAGCATACCACACAATATCAAAAATAATATAAAGGATGAATTATCGATCCTATCTCACCTCGTACGCGCCAAACTTGATAGCAGACTCGGGCATAACCTTGACCACGTTCAAGCCATTCCCTATGAAGTTGGTTAGACTATTTAGCACACATTGAACGAAATAAATGCAGGGGTTGTGAATTGGTCATACCTGCAAACAAACTCCGTATTCCTCCAGCACGCCATAGATCCTTGGTTGCTTCTATGAGGGGCATCCCCATTCTCTTTACAGCTTCCAGAGGGTGGCCGGACTTTGCTGCGGTAAAAGCGGTATCCTTCATAACGGTCTGGGCGATAAGATATACTTTCAAACGATCGAGGGGGGCAGTGGCCGTTCTTGATACGCAACCTGCCATTCCGCCCGCAAGGAAATAACCTATTTGAGGTGTACCGTCCGTCAATATTTGTGTGACAGATTGATACCATAACCATAGCGAGACGGCGGTTGGAAGAACAAGCCACTCCAGCTCATCATCAGTGAGGAACGGAACTGTTTCCAGGTTGTAGTAGTACTGATGGTGTGTGGGTTGAGCCTCGCAATGTAATTGGATCACTACGTTGTCCGACACAGGAAGTTGGAAAGTGTTGGGCTGTGAATTTGACGCGACATGGGTGACATTGTGTTTAGGAAATGAGGGGTCTGTACCTGATCCTTGGAAAGGTTCATTTATGTGGACGTCTCCTTCCGGGTTTAGGTTTCCAAGAGCACTGTAATACGATATCAGACCGCCGAGGTTGGAGGTGCTTGCGGGAAGAAAAAGGAGGAAGTCCCTATTTACGAATTGCATTAGATACAGTGATATGATCAGCTGGAAGAGATAATAAAACATCGAAACATGCCTCCATTCATCAAAAGTGATTACACCGTCCCTGTTGGTGTCCACGTCGGTAAAGAACTCGTCCAGCTTCTTCTTCGGGATAGTCAAGCCAGCGTTCGCAAAGGCAGTTCGTAGTTCTTCCTTGTCAAGGTGCCCATTTTGGTCATGATCGATCGACTTAAACAGTCGCCAGAGCTCGTTTTCGGCCCGTTCGACAAACACTCGAAATTCTAGAAAGGGGCACTTTAGTCCGGTATCGAGGGGAATGGGCATGTAGAGCCCAAGCAGGCTCTAGGTACATGATGGCCGCACCGTTGAACTGTATCTTCCCATCCCCGCTGGTGTCCACGTATGAAAGGACGTCGCTGACAAGGTCTTCTGCATTTTTAAGGGCTATATATATATGTTAGTATATGTGAAGTTCACGCAGCGTAGAAGGTACAAATAAAATTCAAAACCGGGCAAGATCATGGTCAAAGAAGAGAAACGTACGGTGGTCCATTTTCCGTAGACCCTTTTTAAACCCCTTGAGGTCTATTTGGCCCTCATCGCGGGTATCCAGGGTTTCCCATAGCTTCGCAACCCGCTGGTCGCGATCCCGCTGTGACTCTACCCCCATTCTTGCACAGTGACCAACAAATCAGGGTGCGGTCAACATGAGGCGGCGGAAACAAGAGGTAAACATCTATCTATTTTCAAACTTCCCGCAAAAATGCGGGTGTTGTATTGGCAAGAGTGGACTAAACATCAGAGAAGAATAAGAATTACAATCGCGTAGCAGAAAAAATGCGTTATTAACGCCCGCTGTGTGTGTTATGAGAATAGCATTATTCTGTAAATGCGGGAAAATCTAGCTGCAGCAGGATGGTTGGCGCTAACTAGTTAACCTAGGCGCAGGTGGTTTGTGGGCGCAAGCGAGCGCTTAGCTGCGACATCAAAACCAAACCTTGAAGACAAACCACAGTAACCTTGAGGGAAGAGGCGATGATGTAGGAGAGAGAAACACTACCATTGAATATAATAATCAACACGTATCAGCGTCATAAATATGTGAGGATGCAGTCTCCGTTTCTCTGCCTCCGATGACGCCCCCGTCCGTCTCAATTCTTTTAATCTGCCGCTGAAGACCATATCTACCGCCTTGAAAAGAAATGGCTGCAAATTTCTGGGTATCAACCCAGCGCCGGCACTGGCTCTTCGAGCGAGACCAGCTGGCGGAGATTCGGAGATGCCTCGACGAAGGCGAGAAGCAGAAGCAGCTTTTACAGCAGTTCCCGCTTCCTGATCTAAGGTACTTCAGTATCTACATCAATCTACGTAAGACTGTCTGCCATGATTATGTGCGTTGCGACTAGCAGGGCGTGTTGCTGAGACTAACAAGAGGGATGATGCTTCCGCAGAGCTGGTCAGACTGGGGAAGCGAATGACCACCCGTCAACAGGCACTTGCAACAGCGCAGGTTTATATCAGAAGATTTTACACCAAAGTGGAAATTCGGCGGACAAATCCTTATCTCGTGCTTACCACTGCCTTTTATTTGGCGTGCAAGATGGAGGAATGCCCACAGCATATTCGATTCGTCGTGAGTGAGGCAAAGGGACTCTGGCCAGGTTTGTCTACCTACTACCACTAGATGCCCGCTTACCTAGGCAAAAGAATTTGTGAGATTTATATACAAATCCAACCCGTTGGCTAAAAATATTTTCTTACTAGACTTCATCGTGTCCGACATATCCAAGCTCGGAGAATGCGAGTTTTGGTTAATCTCTGAAATGAACTCGCAGCTAATAGTCCACCATCCGTATCGTACCCTATCCGAACTCCAGTCGACACTCTCCTTGACATCAGATGAGGTGTCTCTAGCCTGGTCAGTAATCAACGACCACTACTTGACTGATCTCCCGCTTCTCCAGCCACCGCACGTCATTGCAGTGACCGCCATTTTAATCGCAGTGGTTTGCAAAACGAGCCCTGCCAGCAGTGCCAACCTGGCCGGCGCATCGCCGGTTTCCGCCACGCTCCGGGATGGCGCGGGTGCGTTGGCTGCACTCGGTGATAAAAACCTGCCTCCTCGCATTCAAAAGCTGGTTGACTGGCTGTCGACGGGGGAGGTCAGCATCGAGGCAGTGATTGAATGTACTCAAGAGCTTGTTTCTCTGTACGAGGCCTGGGTGCAGTATAGCGAAAAAGCATGTCGGGAGCAGATTGGCCGATATGTGAAGGCACGGTCTCTAGATAAGTGATACGGTGGTTTTGTTGATTATACTGCTCTCAGAAATTAATTTTAAAAGATGCTGCATCCTTGGGTTAATCTGTTAGTCGACCAGGATATGTCAACAAAGCTCAGCAAACAAATCCTCGAAGCGCCTTGGGAATAGAGACTCAAGAAAAGGAGCGAAATGATGAGCAGGGCGTGAATTCAAAGCCTGCCTCAATATCCACTATATCAGAGAGAAGACTACTCAACAAAAGTGAATCCCTCCAGCTTCAAGTTCGAGACGCGTATTGAGACAAATATTAAGGAACATCAGCATGAAACAGCACCCATTAACAGCAAGGGCGGCTCGAGAAAGCCCCTCAATCCCCATTATATATACACGGCACCCGCTCCCCACCTCGTCCAGGCCGTCCACCACCACTCATCGATGTTAAACATCCTTAACGGCCCACCAGACACACACGCACACGCACACACCTTGCGCGCTGTCAGTGATATAACGGTCAATTATTTCCCCCTCCTCTCGCAAGCAACTCCGCTAGCCGCTAGCATCCCGCCTACATGCCATTCATATCTTATCATTCAAACCGATCGCCCCTTTGGCCTATCAACCAGGTAATCGAGGCGTATACTTCGTCAAAGCACCAGAAAACCCCCGGCATTGTTAGACTCCTCTTCACCCGCCGCTAGATGGAATTAGATATATATGTTTCAATCTGGTTTAAATTAAATTAGTTAATCAATTTATACCCTCTTGCTTTTCTAGCATTCACCTGTGTCTGGGCACGCCCCTTGGGGCAATCATAGATATACATACAAACACCATTTTCTTTCTTCCAATCACCATGAAAAGTACGGGATAGGCCGACTTATGCTTATTGGATGAAGCTATATGGGGCTGTATATACAACCGGCAGCGGAGTAATGCTCTCGCCAACCCAAATAAATACAGAAATAAATACAGAAATAAATAAAAGAGAAGAGGGCATCTCCCCGTCGAAAAGTTCAAAAATACCACCCCCCCCCCCCAAGTTAACCGCCCTTATCTCTGATATAAGCTAGGAATGTAGCCGCCTATCCCTTGTAGGTACAGGATGTATGTGTAGCATCCACTTCATTCCTTCAAACAGTTATCAATCAACAAGGCAAAAAATAAATAAATAAATAAAACATAAAAAATAAATAAAATAAAAATACAGACCAGCCCACTCCCCGCTTCAGCCCATCCCACCAGCCAAGCCAACAACACAAGCCACCGACGCATCTTCCCATCCCATCCCCTCATCCCCTCCAGCACCAATCAGGACAAGGAGACCTGTTTTTGTTAGTTGTTGCTTTCAACCTTTCTGGCATCCACGCATGCATCACATTGCATTTGCATATGTAACTTGCACCACTTGCACTATTTATTATTCTTGTTAGAGCACAACAAGTAACAAGTACATGTACTATACAATCACTCAAGGAGGAGGAGGATTTACTTTTTATATATTTATTTCTTCCTTTCTTCCTTCCTTCCTTCCTTCCTTCCTTTCTTTCTTTCTTCTGTGATAGTTTGTGTGTTTTTCATTTGAGTGATTAAAATTCCTGGGTTTTCGATTTTCTCTAGTATTTTTTCTGTACGGAGTAACATGTGTATTGTACGGAGTACAGGACATTACTAACTAGTAGTTTCTAGAAAAAGAGTCAAGTTTAACCGAAGGTTCCAGCCACTGGCCGGGAAGTTAGGGGCGCCTGACTAGCCCTAAGAGGTAGCAAGGGGCTGCTATTTATGGACAACTACCCTACCCTACAGCGTACTCTGTACTTACAGCGTAGGCGCAAGGATCACACAGCCCCTGGAGACTGGCCTGGAGACTGGGGGTGGCGAGGTCGTCACCTCTCCTATTCTTTCCCCTAGGTTTATTCTGCGGTTCTATTCTGCTCTAGAATATGGTTACCTAGAGAGAATATGGTTAGGTTTGCAATGTATCAGTATATTGATCTGTCAGAGCAGTGGGAAGTTGGACATGACTGACAGATGGAATTACCACGACGGCAAAACATGTGTACTCTGTCCAACCCATTAATAATTGATGTCATTTCATATTTTGTACTCCGTACTGGCAAAACCAATGGAGGTGTTTTGAAGGGGCTACCTACCTATCCTTGGTTGGGACACACACACACACAGAGGAGAGGAGACAACTCATTTTGCTGTGTTTTGTTCCTGGCCTGAGTCACTGCACCTCTGTATGCTATGTAACTATGTATGTAACATGTACCTGACGTATTTCCTGCACTACCTAGGTACGCTTGCATTACTGCTAGGTAGGTACTCCGTAGAACTGAAGTGGCGGGGAAGAGGAAACCCGCATGACCTCAGGTCCAGCCAGTCAGCAGCCACACCACCCCTCCTCCGACGTCACCGCCCGCCAATCACCGCCGCCCAGCTGCACAAGGGCATCCATGGGTGCCTAAGGTTTCTCCACAGCACCCGTCGCTTGGCTCCTGCTGTTGATTGGCTACATGCGGGTCTTTAAAAGCTATCATTGGTTGAGAAACCAACATGGCCCACAGTCCATGGGCTTGATCCCTACAACTGCTTTGCCGCTGGCTCCTGTATGTACGGAGTATGGAGTACTTGGAAGGAGGCAATTTTGCTCTTCTTCCAATGGATAACTATGCCCTTTGCCCGATTGGGACAGCGGCCAAGCCCCTTTGGAGCAGGTATTGTAACTCTGTACTCTGTACTCGGCAGGTACTTGCTGTTTGGTGGGAGGCGCCCTACAGAGCCAGGTCACTCCTCACTTACTTTGATTGTTGTTGGTTCCTCCTAGTCCTTGGGAGGAATCGTATCTACTCCGTACCCAGCAGGTATCCGTTGTAGGGGGTGCTGGGCGGGGAGACACCAGCGAGTGACTTTGGTGCTACAAGGCTACAAACTCCTTACCAAGCCGCCGCCGCCGCTTCTCCTCTGGCCCGAACGACGCCCAGCACGGCAGTCACCTGACCGGCTTTTCTTCCCTTCCCATTCCCTTTGCTTCCACACCGACTCTTTTTTCTTCTTCTCCTCCTTGTCTCATTTTCTCTCTCCTCCTCCTCTTAACTTCCCTCTCCTCTCCTCTCCCAGCCTCCGATCTGCTTTTTGCCGCTTCCCATCCCAACCTCAACTTAACCGTTTCTTTGTGTATTCTTCTGCTGCTTCTTCTTCTTCTTCTTCTTCTTCTTCTACTTCTTCTTCTTCTACTTCTTCTACTTCTTCTACTACTACCTTTATTCGATAGTTAATCATCCTCTTCTTCTCTTTAATTCTTCTGTGTTGTGTGTGTTGTCAATCACAGATCAACGTTCCGACTCCTCGCCCCTCCCACACAACAACGGCACTCCACAACCACCACCACCAACAACAACGGCTTCCCCCAACACCCAGCAAAAATCCATCTTACATCAACAAGCCCTACTGATCGATCTGCCTGCTACTATACCATTCGAGGCTTTACTGGCTAATAAACGAATTTCCAATTCGCTCTTCCTGGATGTAATCTCGTTGTTCAGCCTGTAACCAATCACAGCCACAACACCATGTCGTCCTATTTCTTCTCGCCACAACAGCACCACCATGCTGCCAGCCAGCATCAAGCACTCCACCATCACCAGCAGCAGCAGCAGCAACAACAACAACATCAACAACAGCAGCAGCAGCATCCTCCTCCTCCAACTTCTCACACAGCCGCCTCCGCGTCCAATGCTCACCACGGTAGCGGCGGTGGTGGCCGTCGCAGAGGCCCCAAGATGTCTGGACACAATAATCCCCAGAGGCAGTTCCGTGGCGTCAAGAGCATGAGGGAGCTGGCTGAGGCCCCCGCTATAACCGCCTTCCGCGCGCGGTTCGAGGCTGGCCGTTCCTTTGATCTAGACGATGACCTGGAGTTTTGTCCCGGTTTGTTGACTGAGGATGATGTATGTCTATCACTACTACCATCATGAACCTCCTGCTGTTGAGAAGAGTCATTTCAGTTTTGTTAACCATGTACTCTTGATTTCTTTTTTTTTCAAAACAGCTCCAATCCATCCATTCCTATGCTTCAGACCGGTCCTCCCTCGCCAGCATCTCGCCAGACTCCTCCCCACTCCAACATCAGATCCAACCTGCTCAACAGGTCACACCATCAATCTCCCTATCCCCCGCCTCCCTCAACAAGTCCTCTGTGTTCTCTTCTGCTTTCGGTAACAGTCTTCATCACATGAAGCTTCACCAGCCCTCTGCGGTCCGTACTAGGAATGCTATTCCCATCGTCAATCCAAGTACGGGCATGCGGGTCTCAAGTCCACCAGGCAGCCAACCGAGATGGTAGTTACTCCAGAGAAAGACAAGACAAGAAAAAAAAATATCAAAGGAAAAAAAAATCGATAAAAACAGCCACCAATTCATCTCTCCGTCCGCTCAGTCGATCATGCCATTTACGCCAATCATTTGTTCATTCATCCATCCATCCATCTTCCTTTCTTTCTTTCCTCGATTCCTTCGTTGGCTCTTCTGTCCGTCTTGTGTGTGTCACCTCGATATCCAGCGAGCCTTGAGAATCCGGCCCTCTTGTTCGTTAGTAACCTACGCTTCCTTGGTCCCGACCGGACCCCACTCCGAACCCTCTACTCTGTTAACGACCTAATTCCTCTCTGCTTCATTTGCGAAAACGAACAAGAAAACGAGAACAGTGTCGCCGTTCGATCGAATCCTAGTATATAATTTTGTTTACTATTGTTTCTTATCGACCCCGACTACGATTGCGACCAAACACCCATCGTCATCGTCGCCGTCTCCTAACTTTTTAAACCTTTCTCTTTGTTTTATCTGACGTTTTCCGGATCATCCTGGTGATAACCATGTACCATCCTCACGATTTTATAAACCCGGATATTTCTTTGGTTTTTACTTTACTTTCTTTTCTTCTTTGGAAAGCGACGGCGTCCTGCGGAGCGGAATTCCCCCTACCTTTTTTCTTAACCTTCTAATATATACATACTTTCACACACCTCTTCCCGGACGGAGCGAACCAAGGAACGCCAAAATACGAAAAAAAACAAAAGCAAATCTCACTGGTCTTGCGAAGAAAGGAAAAAAAAGGTGTCTTTTGGTTAATTTAAAAAGGGCGCCATATCATGATGACATACATATATAGAACCATCGACCAGCGAAAACGTTTATTTATTGGCATCGAGTTTTTCTTATCATTTTGTCACATATATATCCATTTTCATTCTGTCTATGGAGAGAAAGAATGGATGGAATTTGGGAGGATGGAATTGGCATGATTTTACGAGTGTTGAGAGCGGAGTTTTGATTTTTGTTTTGTTTTATTTTTATTTTTATTTTCTCATCTTGTCTTACCTCTTGACTGACTGATCATCTTTCGTTGCGTCTGGTTTTCCTTCTGAACCTTTTTGTTTATTTTTCACATTTTTCGCATCTTTTGTATCTTTTTTTTTTTTTTTGATCCTTTATTTTGCACCATATACACACCTCCTCTACTACGGATTTTGGATCCTTGGGAACTTGGAACTCGGGGTTTATTTTTGGCTTTGGGTCGGCGTGTATGTTGATGTTGGGTGAGGGTTTTTTGTCGTGTCACTGAACTGGGCTGGACCGGCTGGGTGGTGCATGTGTGCATGTTCTGATCTGTTGTTGCATGGCAAAAAGCCTCCTTTTCCTAACTGCATTCTGATATCCAGAGTTTATTATTTGTCATCGGGTTGGGTTTTTTTTTATTATTTTTTATTTTATATACATACATACATATTTTCTTGTTTTCGTCCTGGGCTGGTTGGTGAGGGGGGGTTGCTTTTGTTTGGGTATATATACTCCGTATATATATATATATGGCTGCTGGTGAGGGCCACGCAATTGGTTTATATTGTCTAACATGGTCAATCTACGGGGGTTAAATTCCTGTCCTGTTGTTGATGTGTGTTAGCGGGAACTGTTTTGGTTGGATGAATCGTATATATTGTTAAATACATACATGTTCTTATTTTTATTTGATGAGTTTTTATTTTTTCTATTTTTCTATATATATATTTTATTTTCTCCATCTAAATGTTATGATGTCCTTTTTCAATATCTATTGGCAAAAGATAAGAGAGACACTGGAAATGTTTGCATGAGAAATTAACAATATGGTGGGCGAGGGAGGTTATACTACGTTTTTATATTCTAAGATTGTGAAAAATAAAATGCAATCAAGGGGGTAGTAAAGTAATTAGGCATTTTAAAGATAACAACAAACTATGCAACCTCCTATTTCCATTTCTTTTTATTAACACATCACTTATAACTCATTCGCCTTGCTTTATCTTTCCAACCCCCCCCCCCCCCCCATCATTTATCCAGATGGTCAAAATAGACAATGTGGGAGAACTCATTTGCTTTCACAGGCCCGAAATGTATAGATGTTGTGAAGAAGGAGGAAAGAAATCAGGAAACAAGAGTATACAGAAGCAAAGCAGATGAAAAGAGAAGAAATGAAAAGCCTCCCCCTTTCGGTTCCCTTTGGTTCCCCCTCCCCTCTCCTCCTCCCTCCTCCCTCCCCTTCCGCTCACCTACTCTACTCAGCTCATGCCCCAACCAACCACTCAAACATTCGCATCAAAATCTCCGCCGCGCGCCCCGACCCCCGTCCCCGCGCGCATCCTCGGCTCCGCCCCCATCCCCATGCCCGCCCCCGTCCCCGTCCCCGTCCCCGTCGCTGTCGCCGCCGCCATACCACCCCTCCTCCCCTCAAACACCGCCCCGCTCTCAAACTCAGCATCCTGGCCGGGACTGCACGTCTCGAAGCGCAAAGCGCGGAGGAACAGGTACCAGCCGACAGCCAACAGGGCGCCCAGGACGGGGCCGAGCCAGTAGATCCAGTGGTAACCTGGGAAGGAGCGGTTTATGACGTCGGGGCCCAGGGAGCGGGCGGGGTTTAGGGAGCCGCCGGTGAAGGGGATGCCTGTGGTAGGGATTAGGGGGGCGCGGGGGGGTTATAGCATTAGGGGAATGGATATGTAACTATATTTAAATAGGGAAAGGAGGGTGGGTGGGTGAGAACCCGGGGGGGAGGAAGGGAAACGGGTGGAAAATAAAATAAAAGAAAAAAAGAAAAAGAAAAACATACCAACAAGCTCCGCTAAAAAGAACGCCAGCCCAATGCCCAACGGCGCGATGAACGTTGCCTTATGCTTCACGACCGCCAGCATTATGATCGCAAGCACCAACAGCGCTGTCAGGAATACCTCAATGAATAGCCCCTGAACTATCGAGACGCCGTTGCCCAGGCGCGTCCCCACAGTCAGCGGGTTGGGGAACATGGCCGAAGCCAGGCCCGCAGCGGCAATACCGCCTATAAGCTGCGCAACAATGACGAACACAGCCCGAACGGGGGGGACAAGCCCCAGTAAATAGAGGGCGAGGGTTACCTGTTATTTCTAGTTATATTTCCCATGTCATGCTTTTTTGGCACAGGCCGCTTTCTATTTTTTTTTTTTTTTTTCTATTTTTTCCCTTCTCTTTCGGGGGCAACGAAAACGAGGAGAGCTTTCGCTCTCCTCCGGTATTGCGGCGGGAGATAAAAATATTTATAATTACCGCAGGATTCAACATGCCGCCTGTCACGCGAAAGAACAGCCACACGTTCACCGTCAGAGACACCCCGAAGCCCAACGCCGTGTAGAGAAGGGCTGTAGGATCCGCTTGCTCGCCGGGTTCCAGCACCACTTCATTGGCGATTATCCCGCTTGCGAACGGGTAGAAGAGGAATAGGAACGTGCCAACGAACTCGCCGGTGGTGGCGACGATGCCATTGCGAAGGGGGTCCGGGATGCGATTTATGCGGTCGCTGATGAAGGAGGCGCGGGGTCGGGGCCGGGAGGTGTCATATTTAGGAGAGCCTGTTGGGTTTGAATTGGAACTTACAATGGTGGTTGAGTAGCTTGGGTAGTTATCTAGCGGAGCATGATCTTGATCGGGACCTGGGTTGATGTCGGCATATTGGGCTGGACTGGACTCCATGGCTTTGCGCGTTTTGATATATATCAGATACCTGGATGGGCATTATTCTCCTCCCGGGAAAACAGGTGTCGGGGGAATAATAAGGATCTTCTTTATTTCCCCCGAAAAGGAGCTGCCGAGTAAATAGAGGATAAAGTTCCCCGATTATAGAGATCTATGGAGGAAAGGCAATGACGCGGGGATGACGGCTTGTGGTCCAAAAAGGGAAACTGAAGCTCATAGAGTTTCCAAACCGGCCACTCATGGCACGTCCGTCTGTTTGTCCCAAACCTTTAATATATCTTTCCCCAGCCCTAGCACACTTAGGTCCATAATCATCGGAACGCAAGCTCGTATGAATTTATGCCCAATCTATTTTGATCAGGTTAGTTACGGTATTGAACGTGGCAGACATTGGAGTTCATCTGGAACATTCAATGAGTTGCGGGGGCTTTTTGAGTTCGAACGTTACCAAGGTTTTATCACTTTAGTGTAGAATACAGTTTTGAGCTAGTGCGACAAATATACACCGGAGAGCAACGGAGTAGAGACCAACCCTAGGTTGATTAATGAATGCTGTAGAATGTTAGCTACCAGGGGTTGAACAACCAATCGGAATAGGGCATTATACATACCTCATATGGTGACATATTCACAATGCATGGACCATCTGACATGCTACAGATGATTTACCATGGAGTTGTGGTTAGCATTGCATATCTTGATTTGAAAGGTGTCTGGGACATGATGGCTTATGCTTCGTGGTGTTTATGGGTAAAACCCATTAGCTGTCGGTGTGTAATAGTTGTAACATCCTATCCCATTCACAACTCTGATCCACTAGTTTACCATTGTGTCCAGGAAAGCCTGTTGTGTTCAGTGCTGGTAATTGTGAGAATCAGTGGCTTTTAATGGCCGGCATGAGTTCCAACAAAGGTGCCTAGGAAGAGTACCCTAATGCACCGGATCATTCTGAACTAATCTTAAGAATCATCAATTAACTGTGTATCATGTATGAGAGCCCTGATCTTCCTATTGTTCGCCAAGGGACAGATACATGTACTGTACATAATTGAATGGTTGGATGAGAATTGGTCGATCATATATTAAAAAGTCACTCAACCGTCGATAGGAGGAGGCAATATGGAAGGCATAACGGTGATTCAGCATGCTCTCCAGAAGAGACTGTATACCATGCTTGGGTGTCATTATGACAATCCTTTGTTGTTTGGCACACTTCACTTTCCAGATTGGGTGTTGGCATCTGAAAAAGTGGAAGCCAGTGCGGTTGATACTCATATCAGGACTTCAGCCACATTCGTGAAGCTCTGCAGTTCTTTAATACCAGGTAACATGTATAGATCAAGTAGAGTCGTGGCATATGAGAACTGGGATGGCGTTGGCTCCTGCATCACGTCCCGCACATAGTAATGAGGAGTTGGCCGCGAAAAGAGTCCCGGTGTAGGATTTTGGCATGGCTGTGGACGTAATGGCGAGGCAAGCGTACCAGCTATATAGAGATATAGGTGCGTTATTGCCAGAGTACTCTCTCATGCCAGGATTTATATAGGTATATGTTGAACGTTGGACTTCGGATGTTTGTTCCTTGCCAAGCGGTGATGTGATGGAAGCGTCGGGAGATTATTATTCCGGATGCCGAGCCACCTCTGCCGAATCCTTGCCACAAGCCCGCTCTGGATCGCCAATGACGTCATGTATATCGAAACCAGTTGCCGCCGCTTGGAAGTCTTGAGGAGCCATAATCGCCTACATTCTACTTGTTTCTCATTGTTCCGTGTTGAGGATCCACGAATTACGTATACTGCTCGGTGTGAGCATTTCTATATATATATATATGAGGGTATAAAGATCCATGCCTATCAGTGCGCCACATTTTAATATCATTCTCAACCCCTCATCTACCCCGGAAATTAGGAAGCTATTTATTGCCTATTTGAATCTCGTGCGTCTCGCCGTGCCGTCTTTCCCGCTCGGCATTTTTGGCACTAACAAGCACAGGTAAGGCATTTCTTTAAGAGTGCCTTATATGTCCCCATAAACCACCACCCAGTTTTATTGTACCCTACACACACCACGCCAAACATGTCGTTTCTTGCAATTCCAAGTACCGCCCGCTTCCTTAACCGCCCAATTGCCGCTGCGCGGGTTTATACCCCGTGTCTTAGCCAGGCATTCCACCAATCGTCGACTCGGAATGCTTTGAAGGAGTCTGATAGGAGTAAGTCAAATCTTAATGACACCTCGACGGGAAGCGATATTATAGCCATTTTTGCAGCCCATCTTCTAGAGGATACGGCAACTGACATCTGCTTTTCCTCACGAGAATAATAGATCGAGACAACGTAAAGGAAGCAATCCGGATCAGCAAGCAAGAGCACAACCAACAACGGAAGGACGGGGATCCACGATGGCATGAGTCTCTCGCCAGCGTTAGCGAGGCGCACGTAGGTTGCCCCCTTCACTCCCTTCACTGCCCTCTCCCTTCCCTTCCATTCCCTTCCCCCTCCCGCAAATTGCTCGATGTTCATCAGCTCCAATAAAAATTGTAATGTTTTATGCAGCAATCAAGTTAAGACAGCGATAGCTAACTTTGAAATTTGCCTCTTTTTCACCTGCACAGGTAAAAGCTGACCGTGGCGAAATTACCGAGGCCGCTGCCGAGATGGAAGAACAAATGCGGCAGGCGAAGATGGCCGGGCACAAACCCGCTTCTCCAAGCACCGGTATTGGGAAGGGAGGCGGGATGATGACTTAAAGAGAGGATTTCAATTGCAAATGGGATAATTTGCTGGAACGCTTTAAAACTCGCAAGAAATTCCCGGATTTTACATCAAGTATTCCTTTCCTCGTCTTTCTCGCCGCTCCGACTTGAACACTCTTTGGATGCTTTTGAGTGGTTGGTTGTTTGGAATTGAACTCCAACTCTGTATATTATTCATGCGTTCGTTGTGTTTGTTGGATTGCAGGATGTTAGCTTCAAACTCCAACCCTTGCGGCGGGGCAGCTGGAGTGTGAAAAACGAAGCCGGAGATGAAATAAAGAAACTAAAGCTGAACTGAACTGGGTAAAAAGGTTAATGGCCGGCTGCTATAAACATGATGGTAAAACATCGGAGAATAGCTTGTGTGCATAGCTAAATTGGGATCCCATTTATGTTGTTCTTCCATACAGTCGTGCAGCATGATCCGCAGTGAGATGATTCGAATGTGTTCCACAGATAAGTAATCTGCTTAAGGCTATATTAGCTATGACGGTTTTGTAGGTCTATTGTTAGTATAGAAGACATTAATTATAATGGAAACTATGCTTGGATGCACAGAAAGATAATTTCTGTTCTAAAGAACGCATCTCTAGGTATAGACACACGCTCGTATCTTAGGTGCCTCTTGATGAGTTGAATAGAGAGCGCTTAACATAAGAAACGCAAAGCAAAGGAAGATGAAGTTAGGAGGAAACAAAAAGGTTGTACGAAATGCGAAGCGCGCGAAAGAGGGTGGGTGTACACGAATAAGGATAGTAGTCTTTGAAAATGAAATGCAACCAGGCATTAGCTGAGTTCTTTACCGAAACACAACGCCAGGTCCCCAATAGCGCCTGTGATCATATACAGCTTATAAATTCGTATCCAACCCCAGAACGCCTATGTGGAATGGCAAACTTATCCAAGGAAATAAAAGACTAAGGAGAAAGGGACGGATTGGTGAAAGAATGAGCGGAAACGATAGCCTGCAAGGATTGGTGGCATCTTATTTCAAGATAACAATCAAGATAACGAGAACGATGATTAAACCGATGATGGTCATCAAGCTTCGACTTTCGCTTGCGTTGCGTCGGAATTTCCCTAGCCTCTTTCTCGCGCCCTCTAGTCTTCTCGTATGGCGGTCCACATGGCCATCCACATCATCCAGTAACGCTATGTGTCCTTCTAATTCATCTCCGATTTGAATACTGAGCTCGTGCTGTCGCCCAATAGACTCTCCAAGGCGATCCAGGTGATCATCTTGCTCTTGCATGATCAGCGCATGGTGCGCGTGGATGTCAGGATTTGAGAGAGTAGAGTGATCCAAGGATGGCGGGGAAGGGGTGTCGCGGTAAGGATGAAGAAGAGCTCTCCGGTTGGGGTCGTCTTCCTCAACGGATGCAGTCAGAGTGTCAGTGAACCTGACAGATTTGGAAATTGGATGCTGAGGAGTAGGGTGTTTTAGAGTTGTTGACGTGCTTGTCGCACGAACAAAGTTATCGGATAAGGATGGATCATTTGGGGTTTTATCAGTAGTATCTGGAGTTGAGTTATTGCCATAGAATTGTGAAGTGAGGCCATCTAATTGCTGATTGAGATTGATTCTTTGGTCCTTCAGTGTTGCAGATGTTCTAAATAAGAGGCGAAAAGGTTAGCAGGTCTCTCCAAAAAAAAAAAGAATCTACATGTACATAAATGTAGGGCTTCGTCATTAGTCTTACGGGTCATCATTTTCTTCGAGCCGAGCAATTTGCGAATCAAGTGCTTCAATTCCTTCACGGAGAGATTCTAAAGAACGGGATATTTCACCATCCTGCGAATTGGGTTCAAGCTTAAGGGAAATCGCCCTTTGCCGTTCCAGAAGAGATAGCTTTATGTGATCAGCGAGGAGAAAGAGCTGTGACGGATTGCTCATTTTTGCGGCTCTTCGCAAGCAAACGGGAGAAAAAGAGCTGATGTCTAGCAGCGATACAACCAAGTTCGCGCCTCGTAGTTACGTGAGAACAAGAAGTGCGCAGCAGCTCTGTTGGAGGCCTTCTATCGGCGAGTTCAACCGAAAGATTGAGGGCGGGAGGAAGGATGGAGATGGGAATGGATGAGCTATATTTAGCTTGGGTGAAGCCTGGAGTGATGTGTCTCATCCCGCCCAAACGGACGCGGAAAGCGCTTGAGGCTGAGCGTAGAAAGCGGTAAGCACCCCGGTACGGTAATTTTGTGCGTATTGGTGTATTATTTCACAATACCGGATCTCAGAAATCACGTGCTAAAAACACGCCAAGGAGGAGGGCTATCAGACTTCATCTCCAACTCATCATCCTGAATTTGATCCTCCAATTCGTACGATACATAGATGTGATGTGAGGAAGGGTGGAGCCGAGTTGTCTTCTATAGGAATTGACATTCATTCTACCGCTCTCTTTAACAATTCATTTTATGGAAAACATTCTTGCAACAAACACACCTATACCCATCCTCAGCGGCGAGAAGACAGAACTACATCATCACTCAACTCAATGGCCATGTCATCTCTCATATGCCTCTTTCCCTTAAAACTGTTCGTAGCGTCTCTGCAAACTTAACTACATACTCCGGATTCAACATTGTATAGTGCGCCCCCTGCACGTCGTGAAATCTCACGTCTTCTCTCACGAACTCCTTCCATGCTGCCAATCTGGTCTCTACCCAATCCCTTCTATTCTTCGCAACATGGCTCAGAGGGTCTGCCACAAATACATCCATACACTTGACGTTTCCCGAGGGGTCATAGTTGACGGCCATGTTTTGCGTGTTGAACGCAAGCCCAACCCACATGAGATAATATTCTTCTGTGAGGCCTAGCTCATCCCACCGGTTCTGATCGCAATGCTTCCGCAGGTAGCGAATGGCGTCAAGATGACGGTTTTCCCGTTCAAACTCACATAAGATCGGTTTGTGAGTGTAGGCTTTTGCTTCGTCCATCAAGCCGACGAAGTAGAAGAGATGGATAACGCACTCGTCCCATAAGAGCTCACGCATGCGGAACTTTATATGCGGCGGGAGATTCCAGCTGCCGCAGTATCGCACCTCATCCCCGTCCCCCTCAAGCAGCTTGGCTACTTCAAACGCCACCATGCCACCAAACGAGTAACCGGCGGTGGCGTAAGGACCTTGCGGCTGCCGTTTCTTAATGGCAGAACGGTATGTTTCAAAGACTTCTTGCAGTGATTCGAATGGTGTCTCGCCCTCGGTGGCGTTGAATCCTCTTGCGCGGAAAGCGTAGACGGGACGATCGGTTACGTGGTGAGCAAGGTTGACAAAAACCAGGACTTCACTGACGCCAGGGTGAACAAGCCATAGAGGAGCTTTGTTTCCGAAGGGCTGGAGAGTCACAACTGGGTCGTACTTATGTTCTCCTCGATTCTTGGATGTGGAAGTACGCTTTGCAAGACCTTTCACTGTAGGATGACTCAGGAGGTCAGTCAGTTGGATGGGCTTTAGGAGCTGCAGATCCCTGTTGATTTGCTGCATGATGGCCACAAGATCCATTGATGTCGCCCCGGTTGCGAGAACAGAGTCATTGACACCGAAATCGTCCTCATCTGGAATTTCGAGTTGCTCTCGGATGATCTCCAGAATTGTAGCCTCTTCAGACATCTCTACCTTGCCACGGGTCTTGTGTCGATACCTCTTGATTGCCTCGTCATTTAGATTCTGTTGGGCTGCGAAGCTGCCTTCTTCTAGGGCAGCCTTTAACTTCGCCCGAGAGAGTTTCCCAAGAGTTGACTTGGGCATATCTTGGGGTTGTAGTGGTATTACTTGAGGACGGGACCGAGTGTGCATACTCGCAACTCGAACGATGGTGTCTTGCGTCTCGAAACGGACTTTGTCGTCTGCCTCATCATATGACGGTAAGTAGAGTACGGCAACAACTTCAGTGTCCATTGTCACATCACGAGTACCAAAGCAGCAGAAGTAGCTTGCCGTGGCACCGAGAATTTCAGCCTGTTCGAGTGTTGCGTCTAGCTCGTGCGGGAGGTACTTGACCCCATTGATATTGATTATCTCTTTGGTACGGCCATCAAGATGAAGGTAGCCGTTCTTGTCGATATAAGCCAAATCGCCTGTCCGAAACCAGCCATCCCCAGTAAATGCCTCTGCCGTGGCCTTGTCGTTATTGTAATAACCTTTGAAAATAACGTCGCCAGTCAACTCTAAACTGCCTCGTTCTCCGACTTGTGCCTCGATCCCAGAACCGTCGAGTTTGGTGATGCGCATGCGCACACCTGGCATGCATTTGCCGAGTGACGCAAACTCTAAATTCTCCGCGCGATCATAGCTCGGACACCGGCTGTTAAATATGCATCCGGCACATGTCTCGGTCATGCCAAATGAGGGTTTGAATACATCTTCTGGAGCGCCATATTTCTGGAGCAGAGATTGGAGACCAACGCAAACATTTGTAACATTCGCTTCACCACCTGTATCTAGGTACAAAGTTTCTAGCTTCAGGTCTGCGTCCGTGGATGCCTTGTCCGCCTCCAGTTGCCTGCGCAGCTTGGCAAGGAGGAAGTTTGGCGCGAAGGTCCGCGAGACACGGTGACGACTAACAAGGCGCAGGAGTTGCATAGGATCGACCAGCACTTCAGATGCGGGGACCTGAACTTGTGATACCTTGGACACAATGGCAAATATGTGGCAATGGACGAGGTTAGCTACGTGATCCATATTCACCCAGGAGAGAAACGGGCTATTTTGATGCCGCAAGTTGGCAACCTGTGTTTTTCCACGAAAGGCTACAAGTAGCTGATGGTGGGTTAACGGTACCACTTTTGCGTTGCCGCTGCTTCCAGATGTGAGCATTAGAGCAATCACATCAGAAGGGGAAGGTCGGAAAGGTAGGGGCTGCCAGGATTTAATGGGTGGTACGGCTTGAATATCGCCAATGACAAACGTATTAATGCGGTCTTCCCCGCTTTGCTCTTTGAAAGGACCTAGTAGGAGCAGCTGAGTGAGGCATATTGGTCCCTTCAGCGTGCTATGGAGATGGCTCAGATGCTTATGCCTGTCACTTGGGTTCTGACTGAACATCGAGGGGCTGGTGATGGCGGGGATTCCGCCAGCTAACAAAACAGACCAGTACCAGATGATGGTGTCTAAGGTATTGTCGAAGTGGATGAGCACGACATGTCCAGGCTTGCAGATGCTTTGCTGACGAAGCCGATTTGCATTTTCTTCCGCCTGCTGAAGCAGCTCACTGTACGAAAGCTGCTGGACTGCAGAAGTCCCGCTAGTGTTGTTGGGCTGATATGCGATGATCCCCTCAGTTGTTTCTCTGGCGGCATGTCGCAAGGCGTCAATGATGTTGAAGTCGTATCCATTTTGTGGGATCGCCGTAAGCGGAAGAGCGCCATTGGTGGTGGGTTCAGACACTCTATCTGCCATCTTATCTTCCACGTTGGCTTTCTTCGAGGTTTGCACGATTGAAGGCGCCATGTTAATGTGCTAGGAATGAAACTTGAATGAGAAATATACTGAAGTACTGCTACTGACAGTTATATAGCCGGAAAGACAGAAAACGTGGAAATGGATTCCTATAAGGACAGAAGGATGCAGATTATTATCAGCATAAGAATGTCCCTTGGACGTCCAGCTTACGGGTTGCATCCACGGAGTTTATCCTATTGCATTGAACAATGATGCGCCGCTCTCAAAGAGCAACATGGCATTGACAATATCAACGTGCTACGAGGTTAACCGCCTTTATAATGTTTTTACCCCTTGGGGCTATTTGGTAATATGATACCACACCACAGCATGAGACACAATCCCAGCCATGAGAAATTCTCTTACACGAGGGTTGAAAAGCGAAAGTTTTTTTCAAGACGGGACACAGGGTGGCAAAACAGCTGGCAATGTGCCTGGAGATCCAGGTGGTTCTCGTTTTATTCATCTCAAAGAATTCACGAATCTACAAATTCGCTTTCCCTTTTCAGGCAAAATACTACGATATGGGGAAAGAATCCCAAAGTTAATCATTGATGGAATGCTTACCTTTGGCCTGAAAGGATGGAAACTCTAATCACACAGTTATTGCTCAGGTTCAAACAATTTTAACATCCTTGACAATCTCATGCAGTTGCCGGCTGCGATCCATGCGTTTCCGGTGTGCACATCAGCCCAACTTAATTGTTGTGCGACCCTGGAAAAGAAAATAACCCGACCAATTGCCAGACATGGTTATTATCTATGGGACCACGAAACCGGATTATTGATATCTTTTGTATAGCATCATGGGTCATTATTGTCTGTATAACAAACGCGGAGGGCTGCTGGAGGATCGCAGAAATAACAACCTCTGAAGAATCGAGTAAGTATATATAGAGAATCTTGCACCATTTCACCGCTTCGGATTATTCGATGTTGCTATTGATGATCATCGCCCCGAAACCTTCTCTCTTGAATCAATTGTTGAAACCTTGTTACCAATCTTCGTTATTCGCGTATTCTCCTTAAGGATACCCAAAATTAATCAATATGGCCGGGCAAGCCGTTTCCGCGATCCCTGAGGCAGCTTCTGCGTTTCAACAGGCAGCAAAAGTTACAGCCACACGGTTCTGGTCTCATTATCTCCGCTCCATCATGGCGCCATTGTTCAAATCGGTGGGAGCTTACACGGAATCCGAGCAAGAATCCCATCTTCAGTTTATGGACGAGCATATTGCAACGAATCTCGGACCTCTACCAAATGATCCTCATTCACCATATGTTGTGCCCGCAGCGATAGTTGGCGCTCCCTTTGATCCCAGTATCAATTTGACTTCATTTGGCAGTGGGAAAGTTCGCTTCGATTACACAGTCGTTGAGCCGATCGAGCGCCCGAAGGAGGACCCCTTCTCCGAAAATTTGGCCAGAGAGATGCTACATAAGTTAGCCTCGGTCGTAGGAGCAGACACGAGGTGGATGGACAGCCTCATGTCGTCGCTTTATTTATCACCCGCCGAAACTGATGCTCTCCTGGCCAGTATGCCGCCGCAACTTCTCTGCCCACCCGCTTGTATCGGCATGGATTTTGACGGGCCCAAAAGGACGCTTAAGGCGTACATTCCAGGGATACGTAAGGCTCTTGCCACTGGACAGTCTTCGGCCGAGCTTGTGTTGGAGGCTATACGGGGCCTAAAACCATTAGGATCCGAGCTCGCGCCGGCCGCGGATCTTTTAGCTGAGTAAGTTGGTTGCTATCTCTACTTGCCCCTCGATGTTTGCCATTAGCTTATTTTATTTGCAAATAAAACAAATAGATATCTCGCCAACTGCAAACATGACATTATTCTTTTGTTGGCAGGAATTGATTGCATTGACCCCACAAGACATAAGAATGCGCGGGTTAAATGCTATCTTCATAGCAAGGCAAATTCATTTAGTGTCGTTCGTGACGTGATGACGCTTGGTGGGCGTCTAAATGACGAGGCGTCGCTTAAGCGGGTCGACATTCTGCGATCTATCTGGCCATTGCTCTTGAACGAGCCCGAAGATACTAAACAAATTGATGATGACTGGTCGAAGCCCGAACGTATCAAAGAGAAACTCTACACTGGGATACGTTATACGGTTGAGATGACACCCGGAAAAAAGATCCCTGAAACTAAATTATACATGCCAGTTTTCCAGTACACGGAGACTACCGACATAACAGAAAAAAATTTCGAGAATACTCTGAAGAAACTGAACATTGAATGGGGCCATAATGGGAAGTATGGAGAGGTCATGGAGGCTGTTTTGTGAGTCTATCCCCACTCGTCCCTTCTGGGAACTAAACTTTGGGGGGAAAAAAAGAACAAAATTAGAAGTTTTTTCATTTCTAACAACGATATAGCGGGAAAGAAAAAGATTATACACAGATTTTCAGTTCCTTTTCATACACCGCGGGGAAGGGCGCGTACACAACGTCGTATTTTGCGAAGCCAATAAGGCAGTAAAATGGCACAATTTTTTGTGGAAGGGTAATTTGCTATTTGTTCTGATGCACTACTTCTTACTTCTTAGTCAAGTTTTTTATCCTGCTGTGGTTTTAAGATTAGCCATTGGAGAGCTTGAGATGGAATAAATTGTAGAATTTAGGATAGGAGAATAGCAGTGTTCTAAGCCTTTGTGTTGCATAAATCGCGTTGATATATTTTGTTACAAGTGAATGGTTTATTTCCAGGGTCCCACGTTATTCTTGAGTAGTTAAGATTTTGCCCATACAAACCGAGATACCCTAACTGTAGAGAATCGACATTGGGCTGAGACAAAAGCACTCGCACGTTTCCTTGGTCTTACCAACCCCACGTCATGACTTCCGGGAACTCTGTTACACGGGGGGATACGGGCTGATATGGTTCTCGATTTGAAATCAACAAGAAAAGTTTTTACTAGCTTTGGCAGGGTTGATACGAATTCTAACTTTCATTGCACTACTCTCCAAGAAATATCAAGATCTGGTGATTTATTAGTAGTCCAATTTCATTTACAAGGTTCACTCAATGGAAAAGAAGATCTAGTTCATAATGCAACCCGGAGAGCCATTGCAACCATGTGAAGAACAGCATTTTGCATCATGGCTTACTTTGATAAATGTTACAATGCATCAAATATTGCTCCATTTGGGATTTGTAGTCTATCTTATCCGTTCACATTCATTTGACTCAAATTTTACGCTTCGGTTGTTTTCACATACGTTTGTCCAGAATATTTATATTCCAAATGAGCATTAACTCCAACTAGCTACTGCGCTTATCACCTACATATCCCTCCCAACCGAAGGGGATAGCTGTTTTACATCCAGGAGCACTTCATAAAGCATACTTTAGTGAAGGTTACTTTTAATCTGTTTAGAAGTGAGTTCCAAATAATCATGAGCAACTCACATGATTAGCAAGTAGAAGTAGCATAACTAACAGATTTGCTTGTAATACAACCATCAGCCTTGTCACAACATTGGTGACAGAATCATCCCCGGGTGGCTTCAAGCCGCAACTGCGCCCCTTGCAAAGTTACGCCATGCCCTTCCACACGTTGATAATAGATAATATTGAATCGTCTGTGTTCAGCCAGTCTAATGCTAGCTTGGGAAGCGGAAGAAATATTATTGGCTAATAAATTTGACCAACTATTAGTGTAAACTTAAATGGCATGAACCAAACAATCTTATTTTAACCTCTCCATCTTTAAATACTCTATTCTAGCTAGAGATCGTCAGGCGCGTGCAACTTGAAAACCTCAACATGGAAGAACGCAACTACCCAGGTAGGTTATAAGCCCGATGATATCTATGGCTGTAGAAAGGTTGTTCAAGTGCAGTTGTCTGCCAAAACTCGGTCTCGTCCTGATGAGGAGGTGCTTGGGTAAGCCCAGCGATGAAATGCTCCAGACGAGGCATAAATCTGCTTGAATGAATTTATAGCCTAAAGAGACCACATTCGTCAACCTGGAATACGAAACTCCACGGTCTGGCGGTCAGGAAGAGTTTTGAAAGAATATTTTCCAGAATAACCTGATTGGTCCCTTCCGTATGAATATCATCGAGCAGTAACTTGGAAACTCGGATGAGGAATCTGATTCCTACATGTGATTGAATCCGAAGGTAGGATGTCTGGATTTGTGAGAATGAGCAGACCGCATTCTTATCCATCATATCTTCTGTCGAGAAGAAGCAGCCTTATGGAACTAGGTGAGGGAGCTCAATCTAACAAGAGGAGCTTTTGGGATCCTTGTGGGCTCAATACGAAACCCCGATAGGGAGCGAGACTGGAACTCTATGGGTAACATCTGTTGTTGAGTGTATAGAATTGCCCGGAAGGATAGTGAAATTTATTTACAGTGGGGTGTACGCATACATCGAGAGCTAACTGTCTAACCATCCCATCATCTCACCGATATATGGGATGCTGATTCTTTTTCTTTACGAAGTTTTATATTTCCCAGGCTGAACGACATTTCTGAATAATAATCGTCTGGTTCTTCTAGCGGAATTAACTTCAAGAGAATTACATAGAATATCTTCCTTAACATTTTATTATTCTATTGTTCCGTCATGGGATCCGCAAGAGATGTGCCCGGGGGTGTGGCTATCGACCCAACCCCCTTTTTCTCCAGGCGTGCACAGCGATGGGAACCAGGAGCCAGTGAGTGAAAGTGTTTCTCGACACATATTACTCTTGTGGCCCTTTAGGCTGACCCGCAGGCAGTTCGGAGCCTTCTCCCTCTGGAGTCTGTGCCAGGAATGATATCTCTTGTTGCCGGTGCGTCGAGCGTTTTGCTGCTTACCTGGTCTATGGGATTCCCCTAGCGGTTGGGGCTTAATTCACCTGACACCCGTCTAGGAAAACCTAGCCCAGAAACGTTTCCTTTCGCCAAATTATCAATATCGCTCAAAGATTCAAATGAGAGTACTATAGTCCTTGAAGAATCTCTATTGAGAGAAGCACTTCAGTATGGATTGCCAGGAGGGAATGCAGAATTAATTCAGGTTTGTCATCTATGAATTTTGGGAAACAAGAGAACTTCTTAAACTCATGAATGAGAGTATGAAGTGGTTTAGAGGCCTTCAGAAGAGAGTTCACGGCCTCCCTGAATCTGGCGACTGGGCTTGCTGCGTTGGCAATGGGAGTCAGGAACTTATCTACAGGGCATTCCAACTCTTCACTGACCTAGGTGACCCTGTCTGCCTTGAAACGCATGTACCACTATTTTCCATGCCCGTCATCTTTTTGGAAAAGTTACTAACGTAGGACCATTAGGCCGGCATATCCGTAGGCCCCAGCCCCGCTTTTCTCATTGCCAAAAAATCATATCCTATTTGCTAACGATGCCCCTAGTGGAGTTGTAGGATTTCTCAGGGCAGATGGACATCATTTAATTGAAGTTAACTCGGACATCGATGGCCTGGATCCGTCTGAACTCGAGAGGATCCTCTGCAGCTGGCCTGAGAAACACCGACTCCCAAGAGTTCTTTACACGGTTCCAACAGGATCGAACCCAACAGGAAGGTCGTCCACTGAGTCACGGAAAGCTGAAATATGAGTTCTGAACGATGAAAAAGCTTCGTAATTCGCTGACTCAAATGCTTGATTATTATAGTTTGCGGCTCGCTCAACGTTTTAATTTCATGATATTCGAAGATGACGCTTACTATTTTATAAACTTCGAGGAGGCACCATCGAAGAGAGCCCGTAGTTACCTAGCCCTCGAGAGAGAAGTCAACGGAGAAACGGGAAGAGTCATCCGTTTTGACTCCCTAAGCAAAATCGTCAGTTCAGGAATGCGGTTGGGCTTCCTCACGGGCCCCTTACCTGCTGTGCAGAAGGTCATAAAAATCACGGAAAACATAAAGTACGCCGAAAATCATGTTTTCTCTGACAGGTTTACTGCTTTTGTGCTAACTTTCCCTGTTAGCCTTCAACCAGCATCCACCACTCAGTTTCTTGCCCTGGCTCTATTTCGACACTGGGGCTATCCCGGGTTCCTCAAGCATTGTGCGAAGGCTGCCAATACCTATGGGCAAAAACGGGACGCTTTCGCAGCTGCAGCAGAGCGGCACCTCAAAGAGAAAGCGACATGGGATATCCCAACTGCTGGCATGTTCTTTTGGCTAACACTCCGTCTTCCGCCGTGCATGGACAGTTTCGATTTGCTGAGTACTAAGGGCTTGGAGAATGGCGTTCTCGCAATTCCGGGCGTCGCTTTCATGCCCAACATCCGTAAGACATGCCACCTCCGCGCGAGTTATAGTCTTATCACTGAGGTGGAGATGGACGAGGCGTGCAGGCGGATTGCAAAGCTCGTGGATGATGCTTGGGGATCCCAATTGGACTTAGCAAAGACCTGAGTGTTGGAGTTCGAATGCGGCTCCATCGTCTCCAGTTTGTTTATTTTGCACGATGGTAAATTGCAGGATGCTCTCTATAATCTTTGAATGTCAATGTCAGGTTCTTGAACTAGACAAAATTACTACAAGGCGCATGTTTCCAGCACTCAATGCTCCTTAAAGATATAAAGCCCCAGAAAGCCTCATGGGTAGATCAACAGTCTCCATTGCAGTATTTTATTGTCATTAGCCCCTACGCGTGAGAGTGAGTAGGATAATGGTCAAGTTCATATATCGCTTTGCCCTCCCGAAAAGAAAAAGAAAAATCGTTATTCATCCCTCTGAGATAGGTTGCGGAACCTTTGATATGCGATATATCATTGGAAGGGAGACAGGAATTATTTTAAAGGCCCTAATCAGAACCCCTCCCAATGCGTGTAGCACTTCTGTTTTTCTATTTTTTTCTTTCTCCATTTTAAATTTAGGATACTGCTGCAGCAAAAAAGAAACGGAATTTATCGCATATTATATTTGCCCATGCCATAGTTACCATTGGACCATATTATTCTATTCTGACCCTGAACCTAGAAAGTTTTTGATGCAATTCATCTTGAAACACGTTAAGCGCCCATGCTATTATTAACTTATAACTTTGCCCAATAGTCAGTCTGCATGTTTCATCTTGAAGGAACAACATGCCATGATACACCAGCTCTGGACACGACTCTTACAAGAAAATCCAGGGGCGGGGAAATAGCCTGTCACTACGAAACCTACAGAACCACCTCCTTCGCAGGGGTCATTCATAGGTAGATATAGTTTTAGGCGCCTGCGTGTGCATATTTCGCGTTGGCCCATAACCTCAAGAGAGAGAGATGACAGACTATAAGAAAGGGAGAAGGCCCTCGTTCATTATGATATTGTCCATTTTCAACTTGTCATCCGATGCGAGGTCTGAATTCTTGAATTCTGTCGTATATTTTGTTCATTCTCTCTTGATCGTCATCACAACATTCGTAAATATTTTTTTATATCAAAACTAAATCTGATTTTATGCGAATCATTAGCGCCGATCTAAATATTAATACATGAAACTACAACTATTGATGGCAAGCATGTATTTAAAGGACCCCAAACAAAGGCTTTCATGGGTCTTCTTCATTAGGACGAAGATCAAGTACACCAGCAATTCCATGTCACATCTCACCGAAGTATGCACATGTACTGTACAAATGGAAAAGAAGGTTTTGTCCTTAGGGAAGCGACGCATGCCACAGAAAAGAAGGATAGCGATTTGGTAAAGGGTCTGGAGCGAATGAATGCCTGGTTGGCGTGGAGATGGATATGCTTTATTTGTCTGACCGCTGTTATGTATGGCGCTGTACGGAGTACAATCCTTTCGTAGAACACCCAACAAGACAGTATAAGATCCGTACCACTCACTACATTCGTTCTGTATGATGTTTCGCTATTCCAAGATAATTCCTTCATTTATTGTTCCGTTAAAATTTTCTTTACCCTCTTTGACGCCCTCGCCATTGAGCATTTGTCGCTCCCTGAAGAGTCGTTTTGGCATGGCGGCCTGCCTATCGTCATCCACAACGGGCGCTGACGGCAACCAAAAAGTTCGCTATTATGAGTATAAATGTATCTATGGAGTGGAACACCTTGAAAAGTACGAGCCTGGTGGATATCATCCATTGATGATTGGAGATATTCTCCACAATCGATACAAGATCGTAACCAAACTCGGCTTCGGTGGTTTTTCTACTGTTTGGCTGGCCCTTGACGCTTCGAAGAAACAATATGTCGCTCTCAAAGTTGGTGTAGCAGATCAGGATCAGCCGCGGCACGAGAGTGAAACCCTCCATAAACTTTCGAATGCTGCTTCGTCCGTTTCTAGAGCACATCCAGGCCACCGCTTAATCCCAGCTATCCTGGACGAATTCGTTGTTGATGGCCCGAATGGGAGACATCCGTGCTATACGACTCTCCCTGCGCGATGTGACCTTGGAGACGCTGCGTATGGCTATGTTTTCCCACTGCAAACGGTGAGAGCTTTAGCTGCTGGGATTACGCAGGCTCTTGCGTACATGCACTCTCGAGGATTTATACATGGAGGTTCGTTATACATCGTGGGCTCTTTGTTTTCATCAGAAGTTAATTGAAAATTTAGATGTACATATTCGGAATATCCTTGTAAAAACTTCACCAAAGCTCGACTCTCTCTCTATTGAGGACTTTTACAAACAATATGGAGAGCCTAACCTTACCCCTGTTGAACATCGTGATGGAAAGTCCCTTCCACCAAATATCCCATCAATGGCAGTCACACCGATATATATTGGCCGAATAACTGCAGACCAGTTTACCCTCACTGATGCCAGAGTAATGCTAAGTGACTTCGGCGAGGCATTTTCTCCAGCGTCCCATCATCGCCAGGCACAGGATAGCCACACTCCTCTCGGCACACGACCACCAGAGGCCAGATTCGAGCCTTGTAACCCTTTATCATACGCTGCTGATATCTGGTCTTTGGGCCTGCTCATCTGGCGAATCCTCGGACTCAAGTCGCTCTTTACCACCGAGTTCCCTTGTCCAGATGAACTTGTGTCACAATATATCGACGTTCTGCGCCCTGGACCCGACGGCATCGATATGCCAGAGAGCTGGTGGCGACAATGGGACGGCCGCGATAAGTTCTTTGACAATAATCGGGAACCGATACCAAATAGAGAAATATGGCCATCTCTTGAGACTGGTTTTGACCACCAGGTTCAGTATTGGCGTCGGAAGGATCAGATGGGGGAGTTCGGGGATGATGAGAGACGGGCCATTTTAGATCTGCTACGCCAAATGCTGAAGTTTATTCCTGCAGAGAGAGCAACGGCTGAACAAGTATTAGAGTCAGAATGGATGGTCAAATGGGCGCTACCTGATTTCCAAAGATCATATTTGGACGAATAGATGGCTTTTCAATCACAGTTTGGTTACTGAAGATAATATTGCATCTCGTTACAACGATAAGAAACTTAGTATGATGACATTCAACGCATCAAACACGAATGAATACCCGCAGGAGTCGCAGCCTTAAGACGCGAAGCCATAACCATAGCCTTACGGTGCATCCGTATATTGGGAGTGCGATTTAGTCGAAATCGCCCTGTAGGCTATTCTGTATTAGGAAGAGTGTTAGAGTAGGAGACTGGGGCAATGTACCGGGGCCGGTAACGAAGAGTGCTGCTTCCTTTCTTCTTTCGTCTAGACCTGCTTGATATTCCTCTTCTCTATACACTCTGATGTGTGCGCCTCGGCTTACGGGTAACTACATCACATGACCCGGATTCCGGCCGACATTCATCAATCCATCCCCCGTTCGGACTCCACCGAGTTATAACAACCCAAAGCTATTAATAGCCCAACAACCGTCTGCCCAACGCTTCTTTACATTTCACCTCATTTCATCTTCGCATATATCTATCTACCTCTTCCTCTGGCCTTTGACGCCTTGGCCTCTTTTCCGCCTTTTTATATCACCCGGAGCAACAACAACCCCGCAGCTTCTCACGCAGCCCCGCAACGCTCCCCTCGGAACATTCTTCGCAGTACGCGGGTTTTAGACCTTGAAATCGCGGGTCAAGTTATATAGGAACCTATTTCACGAAGCCAGTTTCTTACATCCGATTCAACTTGCATTCGTTTATTAGAGCTGGAATGGTTGTGGTGGGACTGTGAAAGATGGAGGATGATTTTCTCGAACCCGATTCTATCGTGGACCTTCGAGCCCTCGAATATGTTTCTACATACGATGGCCACCTTATGTGCCCGATCTGCCACTGTCCGTTTATAAGACCAATTCGGCTAAAATGCGATCATATATTTTGCCAGAAATGCCTCAATTCCTGCATCACTTCATCCCCGTCACACATACCACTCTCGCCGCCTTCCGACAATTTTGCCTGCCCATCCTGCAGAACCCCAACGATGGCCACGTTTATGAAAGTCCCTCGTATAATAATTAGCATGTGCGATGACTTATGTGTGAAGTGCCCGTTTGCTGGTCAAGGGTGCGAGGAGATAATCCAACGGGGTCACGTACAAGCCCACGTGGATAAATACTGTGACTACCGGTTAATGCGTTGCCCGGAACCAAAGTGCAATTACATGACAAGGAAGAAGGATCTGGATCCTGACCGCCGGTGTTTACACGAGCTCCGTACTTGTGACGATTGTGAAGAATCTGTGATGGAACGGGATTTCGAGGTATGTTGTTTTTGCAAGTGCAGTTAAATTCTTGAGTACTACTCTCCAAACTGACACTTTAACTAAACCTGTTAGGTTCATAAGAAAGAACTGTGTTCAAGCTTGAAGACAGAATGTACGGATTGCCACACGATCGTACGTCGAAGTGAATTACCGAAACATCTAGAGACTTGTCTTGAAGTCGAGAGAACGTGTTGCGCTGCTAAATTCGGATGCCCAGAAAAGTTCAAAATAGAGGAACTTACGCAACATGAGCAAGCATGCACTCTAGCGAAACTGGGGCCATATCTGGAAGCCCAAGCTTCTCGTATGGAATCCATGGAATCCACAATAAAACAATTGCGGCAACGAAATGAGATCCTTGAAGACTGCGTCGCAAGTATCCGTTCAACGCTTGCGCAGGTCTCCCCTTTGCAAGCCAGCCCTCAATCAGAAGTTTCTCCAATCATCAGAAGCGACTCTCCCGTATCTTTATCATTAGAACATTTAAACATTTCCTCACCGAATGCCTCAAATAATCCAACAACTGAGCCCACGAGTGATGTCACCCCTCCATTTCAAGAATCTGTCACCAGCCCACCCCCTTCAAACACCACCACCTACCTTCTTTCTATCCACGAGTCCCTAAGAGAGGATGTAACCCAACTCTCGAATGCAATATCCGATATCGATGCACGTGTTAACATGTCTGTTATGAACGAGAGCATTCGGCTAAGAGATGAGATGGCCCACATTAGCGCTGGTGTTAATGCAATTCGGATGCAAGTCCATTGGCTTATGAATCCACGGCTACACCAGAACCAAAGAACTGTTAACGCCTCCGCAACCACAACATCGTCCACTAGTGATACCTCCAGAAATATGGGCGGGGTTGTTACCGTTGCTGGCCAGAGTGGCAACCCGTCCAGCCCTCCCGCTCCCATTCAGAGAGGACGGCGGCTCAGTGATGGAAGCCGTGAAGGAACAAAACTGTGATGGCTACGATAACTTATACGAGGACTTGTAATCGTTGGCTGGTTGGCACTATTTCTCTAATTTTTTTTCCCTTTGATTTACGATGACGAAGAGATGTTATATTTCCAATTTTTCCTCTTTTGTCTGAATGCATATCTACGGAGTTGTATTATAATTTTATGGGAACATAGGTCGAAAGGACGGGGATATTTTTTCACTCCTACACCAATTTATTCTACTCTCTTACTTCATAACCTCGACTGCTTCCATACAGAGACCAAACACTCCTAAAGCGACGAAAGAAGAGTGCTCCCTTTTCATTCGTCTAACAGAGTTTTCTATGGACTTTTCTTTTTGTCCTGGCGTACAATCAGCTAGAGCACTGGCACATTGTGGTTTTGCCTTTTATTTTCTTGTTCTCTTCTTTTTTCTTTTACCTTTCAAACCAGCTCTCAAATTCCCCAAGAATGAGTGTTATTCTGGGACTGATTAACCTACCTTCTGACTTACTAAAGAACATCACAATTGATCAATATCACCTCTACATTCCTTATCAGGTATCAGGCATCTACTGTACCTGCCGTAATTTAAAGTTGCTGACTCCTTTCCATTCAGAGGAATGATCACAAAAGGGGTACGCGCTATGTAGATAGAGGGGGGTTCATACACCAGCTGGCCAACTTAGGTGGGCTCACGATCATGTGCGGAGAAAAATTCCAATATCAAATTACTTTTAACAAACTTCACTATTGACGGGACGAACAACTTTCTATCATATTATTGCGTGACATTCTACAGCCCCTCATACATATATCAACTATTTTTATAAAGCCCCCGGTTATCGACAAGGAAGATCCAAAATGTCAATCCGATACCCGTCTACCGTTATGAACATGATTCAATACATCATTCATTACCTTTTTTTTTCTTTTTCCCTTTCGTGCCCAGTAACCAGCAAGAGAGCCAGCCAGTCCTTAATAGCGTCGTGAACCATCATATCCACCAGGTGGGGCCTGGTAATAGTCATACGTATGCGCTCCCTGCGTGGGAGGTTGGTATTCGCTAGTATTTACATGTTGGCGATAACTCTCATAGCCAGATGGTGGAGGCAACGTGTATCCAGGATCATCATATAGGCCCTGCTGCTGCTGTTGTTGTTGATAGGCACCCGGTTGCTCCTGGTATGGTGGATATGGTTGGGATTGGCCTCGAGAGCCTGATCCGATCTCTTCAGCCGGCAGCGCCCGTGTCTGGCTATGACCCTGGTCCTCTGGCAATTCACGTGTCAAGCCACCACCGCCACCGCCTAGGAAGCCCGATAGTTTGCTCAATTTGTTGAGATTGGACATTCCTGGGATGGGGAGGTTGGATAACTGATTCCATGGTAGTGAGGAAGAGGAGGATGGTGGCTTGGTTGAGCCGCTGGAACCGCCTACAAAGTGAGACAGACCAGGGATACTAGAAAGGTTTGGAAGGTTGGGAATGCTCGGGAAGCCGCTGGGAGATTGACCACTTGCCTGATCGTGGGATTGATGCTGCGGTTGGTTATGGTCCCAGTAGCCGTGCTGTTGACCACCTTGGCTATGATTGTGGCTGTGAGAGGGAGCATATCCATATGACTGGTGTTGGCTAGGCGGTGGGACATGTGCGTGCGTGTTACTATTGCCATGTGTGTGAGCGTGAGGGTCACCCCCAACGTGATTCTTCCCAGCCTTAACACCATCTGCACTAAGAATATCGTTCAAATCTATCCCCTTACGTGCCTTTTCGCGAGCCCACCGTTCGACTTCCGCAAACATTTCCTGGTGTGCTTCGTTGTCAGACCGTCGAAGCGCGGGGTGGTGAAGAACAGAGACGCAATCGTCCAGCACCTGATCAACTGGGACATCAACGTGTTGGAATGCATATATAACACGAGGGACGACGAATTTCACCACCGCTGACGCTACTCGTCCAGCCGGATCGTTGAGGATATTGCTGAAATGGTCTTTGGAGAGGAACGAGTGGGTTGGATCTGTGCAGGCCGGGTTTGTCCAGGGTTCAAATTGAGCCTGAGCTTCTGAGGCTTTCAACTCATCTGCACCAAGCTGTAGTTTTGACGACGCTATCTTTATCACGGGTCGAATAAACGGCGCTAAGAGGGAGAAGATAAATATCGAGAGCGTTTCGCTGATTTTCTCCATTAGCGAAGCAAGCCCGGGGATTTTCTCGAATGCAGCGGACAGCCTTTTAGCCACCCTGTCTCTAAACTCCAAAATCGGGTAGATTTGAGAAATCGTTTCCTGAGGGTTAATATCTGCAGGTGTGGACGCCCGCGGCTGGTTATACGCGCTGTGCTGGTTTAAACCTTGATTTCCGTGGGGATCAAAATGGCTCCTTGAGGCGGCATAATCATCTAGGCCACGGTGTTGGTTTGCCTGCGCCTGAGCCTCCGATTTTCGCTTTAAGGCTTCCGCTTCTTCGATTAAACCCTTCATTCCGGGAACTTTAGAAAGCAGACTGGTGAGAGCACTCAAGGCTCCCGAGGAACCAGAACCCGTCTGTGCACTGCCAAGTGTATTGTCCATTTCATTGATTTCACTCTGAGCAAGATTATCTGAGGCACCCCCGAGCAAACTGTGAAAGAAATCCGTCATGCCAAATGTGCCAGTGACGATAGGGAATATGTATTTCCCTTGGATGTTCATCTGGGTGGCCACCCCGACATGAGGGAAAACATTATGATAGTTCATTTCTCGTAATACCAATTCGCAGTAATTGCTGTGTGCCGAGAAGTCTTCCAGAGTATGGAGAGCTATCGATAGTTGTTAGCTTTGTGAAGCTCCGCCATTGAATCCCTGATGTGGTGTTTTGTAAAGAAAATTTCCGTAAAGAATTAGAGTATAGGGACGTTACCTTGACCGAGACACCTGAGAGCCTCGCTCAAATGTTCTTCGCGGCCTTTCTCATGACGCCCACCGCCGAGGTAGAGCCTTCCAAAATGTATGCTTCGCGCAATACTATACCTCACGTACCCGGCGCTGGTTGCCCAATCGCCGCGCTCGTTGGCAATGTAGTTCTTCATACCGGTTTCCGGGTCGATTTCAAGCTCGATAGGTCGAATTGGCCCTCGAAGTCGGGGGTCACTAAAGGCAGAGGTTAATATATGATTTGTATGATGCAATGCATGTTGTAGATGTGTGCTTGTTTCGGGGAGTAGAGGACATACTATTGCCTCGCATCTTTATCATCCGAGTAACCCTTTGGATTGCTATATTTAAATAAAACGGTTAGGAATATAGTTTCTTTTGGAAGAGGGTAAATTAAAACATCATCACTGGAAGGGATATAAGGCTTAAATAGCGATGTTTGGAGTACTCCGCATGATGCCATCCATCATCGTAACATATGATATCAATGTGGGAGGGGTAAAGACGAACTCAATATGTTCCTCCGGTCTGTATACTCCAAGTCTCTCAGCTGTGACCTCAAACTCAGCAGTTGCATATCCGAAAGCCATGAAACTGAGAATCCAAACCAAGACCCTGATAGAGTCTGCTTGAATTTTCGATACTGTGCCCACGTCTATAGCTTGCGAGTAATCTCTCAACCTATTGTGCCATAAGTTAGTTTAAAATCACTAAGGAGTTCCAACTGTGGTTGAATTAAACGCGTTGGATAAAAGGATTAAGTCAGGGGAAATAAGCTTGTAAAGGTACAGTACCAATTTCCAAAATATAGACGCTTCATCATAATGCCTGTCCATTTATGTCCCTTGATGAACGCAAGGGTTTTCACGATATCCTGGATATCTCCATGGCGCCAATTTTTGCCTTCAACCACAGATATAGAAGCGATATCTAAGAGAGCAGTCCAACAAATAAGTATCAACTAGTTATGATATGGGTCATTCAAGTGTCGAGTTTCCTTTGGGCGCACACACAAAGTCAAATAACGGAAACATACTTCCAGCTCCGAAGGCATGCACTTGCGAGGGAAGCAGCACAAGTAGAATCGCCAGGATAAAAATAATTGATCTTGTGCCTAAGCCCATGTTGAAGATGTGTGATCAAGCCTCCGTCCACACGACGATGTTAGTTAGGCAAGGAAATAAATATACGCCTGATGGATTCGTCAAGCAATGGTGATTGCGGTGATATTAGATCTCTAGGTTCCCGTGAGAGGGTGCTTCAAGGAAATTGAAACAGTGAAAGGGAACTTGATTATTGAGTTGATTTGATTTGATGACGTCTCCAATGCTCCAAAGCCGGATTGCTATATTATTGCAAGATCAAGAGTGTGGCGTCACAGAAAACTGGCTTCGTGAAAATATTTAACCACCAGGTCTCCTCCCCCTCCCAGTTCTCCCCCCCACCACCAAGGCTTGAACCCCGTCGTCGTGCGATAAAACTAGCGCAGGAAGATAAGGGCGCTTCCGGGGGCTGACGCAGTACTGTACTGTACTGATCCTGGTTGCTGGCTTGACTACTTCCGTCTGCAAGCCCTTTTTCAGCTGCGGTTGGTCTGCGGTTGGTCTGCGGCGGCGGTTGGTTGCTTCGGGTCGTCGTCGGCGCTCGAATGGTAAGGCTGAAATCTTAGTGAGTTGGGGCAAAGTGGAGGGTTGCTGACTCATCCGTGGTTCGTCCTTGGGCTGCCAATTCTCCGTTTGTGGAAACAGTGGATAGAGGAATCTCTGTGAACGCGCAATTCAACCGCCCAAACATGAAAGACATTTTATTCCCCGAAGAATGAATGGAGTTGGCTCCAGGCGATGTGTCGGTTCGAATTACTGGGCTGCATTCTGTTGTTACGTCGTCGAGTTGGCAAGAGTGAGGAGGATCGCGCCGCTAGGTTGGATTGAATCCACTCAAGACAGACACAGAGACTCACAGACAGACGCAATTGCAGTTCACTAATACTTTAAAAAATCTAGCAATTCACAACCGCCAGCATGCTCCATGAGATACTCCTCGCCTTGTCCGGTCATAACTCTCCCCTGTTTGACCAAGAGGAAGGTGGCTCTGCCAAAGACGGTGTCCCGTTTCTCTCGCCCGCCGAGCACGCCCTCCTCCAACCAATAGCGGAGCTGTGTCGACTTCATACACTACTCCGCAAACATACAGCGCGAATTTCCTCGTCACATCCCTCCACAATATGTCGGGCGGTATCAACCAATATCTCCACAGTGCAATTGGGCAACTTCCAGAAACAAATACTGGAGGTTGAGACAGCAGTGCTTGCTAATGATGCTCGATATGTTGGTGGCCATGGGATCGTACCATTATCAACAATTCGCTCAGAATTCTTGCCTTGGGTGGGGAGGTTACAATGGCTGTGGCAGATCGCACGGTTTATGTCGCCGATTGTGGGTGAGGAGCAAGGAATGTGTACTGGAGCCAGCCTAATTGATCACCTTCGAAAGGAGTCGCATACAGGATATTTGGATCTTGAAGAGATGGCCCTTCAGCTGATAAATGCCGGAGAAACCGCGTTCATGCGTCAGCTCTCGATGTTTGTGCTGTACGGCCAATTGCCATCATTCGGACGTGGAGATTTCTTTATCCAGGAAGGCCAGTCGACGGGGTACGAGAAACAAAAAAATACCGACTTCACAATCCGAGCAGATCTAATGCCAAACTTTGTGTCTTCGTCCACTGCCAATTCAATCTTATTCATCGGTAAATCCTTGAATCACATCCGAGCGCAGGGCAAATTTTCCGCTGGAGATGAGTCAATGGCCTCGCTGTCCAAGCTCACGTTACATGGAGATTATCTCGATCATCTCTCAGCTCTTTCTTCCCCGATATCGCCCGCTGGCCTTAGTGGTGCAATATCCAAGATAAGGATTTCATTGTCACAAACTGCCTTGTCACAACTTCTCCCATTACCTAAAATCGTGGAAATCCTTTCCTTGTTGCATGATTTCCTCTTGTTAGGACGTGGCGAATTCGCTATGGGGCTAGTTACATTCGCGAATAATCTTTCAAAAGGGAGACATCGAAGGCCTGACCTATTGAGATTGGGGAAGGGTAGTACCGATCTATTAGAGAATCTCGCAGTTAAGGAGGGGGAAGTGGCCGCAGTTTTATCTCAAACTTGGTCCGAACTGTATTCAATACAGAATGCGGAAGACCCCGTAGACGACGAACTCGACCTCGCCAGAGAACTTCTACACCTTTCCATCAAAGACAAGACTGATAACAGACGGGTTTCCACGAAAGAAGCGGCAGTTAGTAGCCCACTAATAGACGTTTCTGACGTCCCTTTCAACGATTTACTATTTGGCACGCCCACAACGTTGTCTTTAGATGTTCTACCACCGCTAGATCTCTTTCTCTCTCAGGCCGATATGGGGCTATACTCGAAAGTCCACTCTTATCTACTTGCTATTCGTCGAGGCCAAATTCACCTAAGTAATCTGTGGAAATTGACATCCCTTCGAAGAACTCACCCGGCGCCTCCTCTAGCAAACAAGCGTGGAGGCCAGGTAAGATGCCAGTCAAACCGGGAACGGGCTCTTGCTCGAGCTGCTGCTATCAGACCGATCTGGATCACGGCAAGTAGAGCTCTTTTTATATTGTCAGAGCTGACAAGCTATATGCACGGCGAGGTTATATCGAACTCGTGGCAACACTTGAAGCAATGGCTAGATGAAGTCCGACCAGTATCAATGAGTGGCTCGCGGCCGGCAACGGCAGTCTCCTCAGTCTCCCGGCGCGAAAGTTCGGCTGCGCGCTTTCGCTTAAGCAGCCTGGGCCAGGGCGATCCCCAAGCGCGGAAAGAAAATAAACCATCCCAACATGACCCGGAAGCTATCACAGCGGCCCACCGCGCTCACCTGGTATCCATCATCCAATCCCTGCTCCTAACAGACATACCCTTCACCCGAGCACTCCGCACACTCCTAAATGCCATCGACCACCTCATCGCCATGGTAATCCGTCTCGAAACCGTACAGCAGAACCTGGACTTGGAAACTGATGAGGGCGTCGTGGATTCCCTAGCCGATTACGCGGCGGAAGACAAGAGGATAATGCATGACCTTCACATAGCAAGGGTCGAAGTTGACAATGGCGCTGCAGATCTCATTTCTCGATTACGTGATATTGACGATAATCGACTCGGAGATGGTAAGCGGCCTTTTGACCTGGGGCAGAACAATGTTGGTGGTAATGTGATGAATGTGAATGGGGATGGGAATATGGGTATGTTTGGCGATGGTGCGGGTGTGAGTGCGAGTGCGGCATATGTACCGTGGAAACCAGCTGGGGTGGATCAGTTGTTGATGAAGTTGGACTTTTTCAGTTCAAGTCAGAAAGACGATGTGGGCGGATTTGAATTTGGGGCTACGTTCACTTGAGAACTCGTTCAGTGTTTACCGTTAGGCTGGGGCACAGAGTGAGAGGGCGCTTGATAATCGAATTTGTATGATTATACCCCCCCCCCCCCGGCCTCCTCCCTCGGAGGGCTTCTTCCTCTTCCCCTTCCTCATCATTTTCTTTCTTATGTCTTTCATGATCATGAGTTTACGGATGTACCGAGGCGGCGTTTGCATTTTCAGGGTTAGGTTCGGGGTTCGGAATTATCACACTAAACAATTGGTAGAAAATTATCAACGCGATTTTTTTTATTTTTTTCCGTTCAGAATCACGGATAGGGTATAGTGGGACACTGAGTTATTTATTCTCCTATTTCAGTCAGAGACTATGCAGGAGACCCCCCTCATCATCTCAGTCTGAGGGCAGAATTTATTTCCAATCACTCATCTGACTACTCTCACTGAGGTGTATACAGTCTCAAGCAGCCTTTACTAATTATATGATTTTATGTGTATATCATTGATCAGAGAAAATTCTTCACTACTCTCAATTTAAAATCTAGTATAATTCTGAATCTTTGATATCTCTAAACTAGACGGTTCAGAGAAAATCACTAAAATCATATTAAATCTGACTGAATGCAAAGACAATCTTCATACACTAAGATTTAATGTCATTCTGTCCATTGATTATATATATATAGTGAAAATCATTTCCTCCTAATCTATTAATTAACTCTCTGTAGTCAAGAACTGGCCCCAGATTGTGTGGATGTAATCAATAGATCATGGTAAAATCACCTTGTGAGGGAGGCAGGATTCAAACCTGCAACCCTGACATCTCGGAAGAGCCATCCCCCATAGCCAGTTCCTGCTTACCATGGTCCTTCCATGGACAGCGCTTTTACCACTACGCTATCCACCCCACCTTGGGCTTGCTGTGCATTTCACGCGAAGTTTGGTAGATTTGAAAGTTATCAACATTAGAGGTTACTGGGTTGTTAGATAGTTACTGGCGCGAATCTAAAATCGAATCTCCAAGCGTATATTCCACAAACAATTGTTCACTAGCCCTAATCGGACAACGCAAATAGTCAAAAATATAGAGCAGAGACCTGGGAAGATCAAATAATATATGTGAATCCCCCGTCACCAGCACCTTTCTCCCTTCCATTCATCGACAAGCCCGCTGAGCCCGAGCCCAAACCCGAACCCGAGCCAGAGCCAGAGCCAGAGCCAGAGCCAGAGACACGGCCCATCAGCCCGGCAGCCTCCCCTTCAACCATCTCAATCTCATCTACGCCCGCCGCGCCCACACCCTTTAACACCCTCTCACTCTCCCTCTGCAAAAGCACTCTCAGCACGAGCGCCAACGCCGCCACCAAAAGCATAAACAGAGCACAAACGGCCATACCACGTACATACCACGGGCCATCAGTCCGTGGATACAATCTTGTCCCAACGAGTGGGCCGCACTGGCCGATGATATTCAGGATCGCCATGCCGGTTCCCTTACCTTCTTTCGCGGGCTGGTTGTCCATCGTCCAGGTGATGATTATGGTGATGGACGAGAAGAAGCCCGCTGCGGCGGGGTAGATGGCTATGTATCGAATGAGGATTTGGAGAGTGGAGGAGAGATGGGTGTGGAAGTGGCCTGCTAAGGCGATGGTTAGGTAGGCAGCGGAGCTGAGGAGGGCGTGGGTTATTATATAGGGGCTGCGGGTACCGTGGCGGTCAGAGAGGGAGGCGGTGAGGAGGACGATTAGAAATGAGAATATGTACGGTGGGGCGGATAGGGCTTGGGAGGTGATGGCAGAGTAGCCCATGCTAGGTGTTATCAGGATGGTTAGTTGTCGACGACGACCACTCTATACGACTGTTGCAAGTAGGATAGACGAACTCTTTTAGAATTGTGGGGAGGTAGACTGGCAATGAGCTGAAAGCGACATTGCAGCTGAAGAACATAAGCTACAAGAGAACGAGGATTTTTTTAGTAAATAATGAACGGCGCAGAAATGTTAAAACAAATGATTCGCTCCTGGAACTCACCGCAGTGAGATACGCCTTGGGGTCGCGAAGTGTTCGGCCGATCTCACTCCATTCAAACCGTCGCTTACGAGATTTATCCCTATGACGCATGCCATCGTTGATTTTCAAGCGTAGCTGTGCAACTTTCCTCTCTCGAGGCGTGAGATACCGGGATTTACCAGGGCTATCAGGGACGTAAATCCACGCAAATACAGCAACAATTACACTTGGGAACCCTTCGAAGAGTAACAATGCGCGCCATGGTGCGATGGGTCCATCTTCACTTAGCTTCACAATCGCCCATGCAAGGGCGCTGGCGAAGGAGGTTGCGAGCGGAGCAGCGGATATAAACATCCCTGTGCGATAAGCCAGCTCCTCGCGCTTATAGAAAAAGGACAGAAAGAACGGAACACCTGGCCCAAAGGCCGCTTCAGTAACACCGAGGAGCGCCCTGAGAAGCACAAGGGGCCAAAATGAGGAGACGAGAGATTGACATGCGGCAAGAAGGCCCCAGGAGAAGCAGCATATAGAAATATAGATATGTGCAGGGACGACTGTATACATAAGCGTCATCCATTCAAAACAAATATATGTGATGTAAAACGCCGTGAGAACCCATTCGAATTGCGAGGACGTGAGTTTGAGATCTCTTTCCATTCCCGCGATCCTGGCATTCCCGATGTCTAAAAGGCATAACAGAGTTTAGAATTTGTGACGCTTAGGGACCAAGATGTGAACTCACTTGATCGATCAATGAAGGACAGCATATATAACAACGCCATAAACATGGTCAATCGCAGATCAAACTTCCTGACGATGCGCCTCTCTTCGTCGGCAGTATATATCTTTGAGGAAACAGGCTCCTCTATGTAGTCGTATTCTTCCGTTCCTTTCGGAGAGATGTAAGGTCCGCCATTATCGCTCAGCTCGCTCCCGTATGCATCATGCGCTAATTCTCGGGGCTCTGCTAAGTTTTCATTATGCCCGTCGCCATTGAAATTGGTTTGAAGTCTCCCTAGTTCAGGAGGCTGCTGCCCCCAATTAGGGGATGACGGGGTATCTGCTAATATTGAGCCCGAAATTTCATCTTCTGGTGTCAACTGGGAGTTCGAAGAGGTGGAGGAGCTCGTTGACGGAGTATCTCCAGCAGTCGAAGAGGAGGGTGTATTTACGAAACGGCGAGAAACAGGGGGCTGGTTTTCAAGGTTGAGCATTGTAGGTGTAGTTTAGGGAGCTGCAGGGCTCCCTGGATGTCGGGGACATAGGGCACCGGAAAGATAACCCTAATGTGCTGAAACGTATTTCATGAGGTAGGTCGGACTTAAAACAGTTAGTTTGGGAGTAATATTAAAATCGTAACCGCCAAATGGTCCAAGGTTTAGGGAAATCCATAAACAGGTTGTTCGCGCTGAGCTTGAAGGCTGTTGAAGATCGATTCCGAGCTCTCTCCGCACCCAGATCACGTGGTCTATTTAGCTTGTTTGTTACTCCGTACAAGCAACGCCGCAAGCTCTAACTAGCTGCGAGGATCAGGTCAGGAATAATTAGTAAATGACAAGCTTCAGCCGTCTTGAAAATTTTGGGGATACATTGAAGCAACTGTCATTCCTTCTGCGCAAGCCCATAGTTCATCACTTGGTGTGTGCAAATGTCCGAAAGACAGTGCGGGTCTTGCTGCCTGTTTATCACTGATAACTTTCCATTCAGGTACGTACGTTCCCTTGCTTGAAAATGCCTATAGCGGAGAGCTAGTAGCATGGCCAGCGACTATTTGCCCAATGCTTACGCAGCGTATAGATTATTTTCCCGGATTGCGATGTATAACTTGCCAGATATTCTCAGATTGTTGGAACTGTGGAATACAGGCCATATGCTACTTTCCCTTAGGATAGTGTATTGCCCATGATGGAAAAGTATCGTTTCGGACGATGGGATGAAAACCACCGCCTTGGTGCTGGTGGTAGATGAGAGGGTGTACCAAGGAACTTCGAGGTTCGGAATTGAACTTGGATTAAGGAATCTTGCAGTGAAGTCCTCTCATCGTCTTAGTGGAAATTCATCTGCAGTAGGACAAAAAGTTCTTGATGTTGGGTGGTACGTTTCACTGAGCTATGCGTCGTCATCCATTGATAGTTCAAACAGCCGTGATACTCAGCAGGTTGGAAATATATCAACTATAACGAAATAGCAAATGACAAATGCATCTTTGTATGGAAAGTATCTCGTGAGAGTGAATAGCGGATAGAGAACGTTTGGGATAAACCATGGATGCGCCTTTGCGGCCAAGTTCTGTCTTTTGGAATAGTTAACCTTATTTAGTCTAACCACGTACTATATTGCGGTGATTAGCTGTTAGCAAGTTCGACGAAACTACGCCCACTCTCCACTTCTCCTGACAGCGGCAGTGATCGTTTTGTCGCGATGCGAGAAATTCGGAAATATCTCAATAGCTATGAGATACTTGTATTGATTGATTGAAATCATTGATGAAATTTGCTTTAAACCTACACGTCTTTCACAGTCATCCTTGTGATATGAAGCTAATCAGCATTTGAAACGAGTGTTTGAAAGAGAGAACAATTGATATTCTGTAGAACAGTCACCCGAAGGTGGTCTCAGTGTACTTCGCTATGGTTTAGATCATGACCCTACAAATGCCCGCCGACTGTGGACGTGGGTGCTGGGTGGGTTTGCTATTCGCGGAAACTCAGGCACGAGCAACAGGCTCTTTTGTTCCGATGAACTTTGTCCCCATTTGTAGGCTACTGGGGCAAAAGAGCTCAGTCACCACCAGCGCACTGCTGGTAGAAGGGCCGATCAACCCCCGGGACCCCCACACCATTTACATTTCAGAGATAACTAACTCGCTGGAGGCTTACGGAGCCACATGAATATTAATCCGGGGGGATACATGTATAATGAGGGTGGATGGATAATCAACGGTAATATCTTACCTCTTCTTCCACTGTCTAGGAAGTAGAAGATGGGTAACGACAATGGAGAAAGGAGGATAGATCGAATCATACAATAAATACTTGAAATCATTTTAGCCTTTTATTCCTAAATACCAGCAAACCTCTCTCACTGCTATGGAGGGTTCAGACATTCTCACTACTAAAATACCCATTGTATGTATTTCAAACGCCACATCAAAAAAATGGAGAAGTTTGAACACTGCATTCGACCTGGAAAAGGATTGACATGGCCACCATACGGCAATTTTACTAGATGTCGATCAAACTATGCCCAACCATTCATCTCCCCTTGAGTTTAGTATGGACGGTAGCAATCACCTCTAGGACGGGACGCACGGTAGCAGTGCGGCTGAGACCGACGCTTCGCAAACCGCGATGCCGATGACGACATCGATGAAGCAGGCTTCCCTCCTCCACGCTTACAATCAGCCTCATGAATCTCAAAGGGCCGTTTCCTGCCCCCACTAAGCGCGATCGCCTTCTCCTTCGCCATCTGGAACGCCGCCTCCAGCGTCGGGACCATGGCATGCTCCATCTTGCGGGCATGCAGGTAGTTGAGGGCGTTTTCAGCGGTGTCGCGGAGAAATTTCGCGGCGCGGGACTTCGCGACGACATCGCTATCTGGGATTAACTTGTACTCTCGCTGTGCATTGGAAAAAGTAGAGAGGATGCGGGAAAGGCTGTCGTTGATGGTTTTGAGCTCCTTTGCGTTGTTGCGTGGGCCGTTCTTGTCCTTGTGGGTTTGGCCAGGGGCGCTGCCGTTTATAGCGCCCTTTTTGAGAAGGGCTGGGATGGGGTCGGTGGCTTCCTGACCATTGGTGCGGGTTACTAAATGGAAAGCGCAGTTAGTATATAGAAGTAGTTCCTCTAGTTTCTTGTCTTTATTTTCTTCTCCTATATCCAAATTTGTAGCGAAATAACAAAGAATTCTAAACAAAGGGCGAAAACCATACCGTTCAACAATAGACTCCTGACAGCCACATGTTTGACAACCAGGGCCTCCAGGTCGGCAGCTTCAGCGCCTTCCATCCCCATAACCTGATCAAGGAACAACTGGATTGCACCCATGTAACACGTTTCAGCGCCCTTGTCAATCAACTCAAGCAGAGCCTTATCGTAAACAGTGATCTGGCCGTCCCCTAAGGCCTGCGAGCGGGACTTGACTAGTGAAATATGGTGTTCAAACACTTCATAGAGAAGACGGAAGAGATCGGAATTCTTGACGAATTCTGACAGCATTGGTTTCACAGAATTGGCATCGAGGTACTTCTCTGCAAGTGCAGAGGATTCATCGTCCAGGTTGGCATTGGCTTTGCGGACTGTTAAGTGGTTTCCATTGGCGAATTCAGGGCCGTGGTGCATCGCGTAGTTGGGAGACATGGCTTGGAGAAAGGTGTTGAGATCTTTGATAACTGAGTGTTTCTGATCTTATACACTCGATTGAGGATGATGTCTCATCCACTAGATGGGGGGTATGTGGCTTTAGTGGAGATGTCAAATCAAGCCTGAAGGTGGAAGATAACAGACGAATTTATGTGAGGAAGTTTTGGCGTGAAAGAGAGACATCGGTGTAGTAGCAGACAGACGCGTTTGGGTGAAAACAAAGAGGTGTCTGGTTGCTATGTCTATGTGTTGTGAGATATACAACCACTGGCCATGTAGCATTGAATATTAAAAACTTTCAAAATGTCCGGTATGTTTGTTGAGCAAAGAAGATACAGACCAGCAATTAGCATCCCATAACTTTTTATATCAGTTCTGTCAAAATGAAGTTAGGAGACAGCCACAATTGAAAAAAAAAGCTTCTCTAGGAAACTGCAGCTTCAGTATGGCAATATGGCCAGTGCTGCATCATCCTGCTGTCAGAGAGATAGGTCTCTCCAGCCACGCCTAGGTAAAGATAAAAAAGGGATAAATCCTCAGCTTGGAAAATGCATTAGCAAGTGTAAAACATGCTCAACAGTGTGGATTTATCATGTACATTTATTGAGGTAATGAATCCCCATCCTTCAGCAGGGAGGACTCATAGCCCATGTGCAAAAGTTCTCCGCCAGCAGAGGGGGAACAAAAATAGGTAGATAGGGATATACACGTATGGGAAACGGTTCTTTTTCAGATAGGCAGAATAACACTGCAGAAGGGAAGCTCAGTGGATTCATACATCGGACATGAAAGGAATAGGTGTTGAAAGGATAGTAAGACAAGGCGGGTGGCCAAGAATAGGGTATATATAGTGGCAAAGGGTAGCGAGGAGCACGATAAACGGGTGAGATATTTGATTATACAACCAAATCTCAGAGGATGGGATAATGACGAAAACCAAAAGCGAGAGCTACGCCGGTGCTGGATATTTTCTTATTTCAGATTTGTTATGAACTTCCCGAGTTGCCGTAAAGCCTGTTAATCTCATCCACAAGTGTGGGTGTTTCATCTCCATGCGGCTGACAATCCTTCCACGTATGGCCGTCACGAATGCACCATATCTTCTCATTGATCCCCAAAGTAGTATTGCGCTTGAAATTAGTCGTTAGTAGCGCAAGGCCGCTGACTCCATCTGGATCGTCGTCCTCGTCTACCTGGCGACTGACGTAGACATTGAGAGCGCCGAAATCAAGATCAAATTCCAAAGAGCAGTCCTCAATCAGCTCCCGCTCCGGTATCTTATTATATGAAGCCAATAAACAGTTGGCGAAACCAAGGGAGCGGACGATGGGCGTTTTATTCTGCGTTTGTGCACCGGGTGGGAATGGGAGGTTAGCGGCACAAAGCATGAACATGTTCCCTACACACTCGGGCGGGCCGTGCTTGCAAGATACATCTGAGGATTTATTCGATACACTAGAAAACGAGTCATAAAAACTTTTTTTTCAATCATCCGGCGAGCTGGCGGCCAAAACGGGCCAGTTCTGGAGCTGCTTTCGGCCCTCAACTCGCCAAAGTTTTTCTCCACGCACTTTCTCAGGTTATTAATAACTTACCGTCGACGTACCACACCTCGGGCCTTGCCGCACCACGGCATCAAAACAATTCCAACTTCTTGGCCTTCAACTTAGACAGATTATGTTGAAGTGAGGCCATCAAAGTGGTGCAAGCTTTGCTCACAGTCGGCTGAATTACTTCACAATCTTCAGCTCCTAGTGGTTGAGCTGTTGTCAGCTGTGATGCAGAAGCTCCCTGAGTTCCGTGGAGATTCCCCACAGGCGGTGCTGTTGTAGGCTGGAAAATCTTTCGGCTGTGGCTCATTCTAAGCCATGAGATGACGAGAGTTGGTCTTGCTTGCCTCAGACCTGACCCAAATCCAATTGAGCGTGTTTTCGTCGCAGTATTCTGTTCTCAAACTAGTGCCTAGCATTCTCCGGAATCAGACGTTCCAATAGCGTCACTTCGCATCTTTGGTGCATACTTAGTACATCGTACTAAGGCCGAATTGCACGGTGCATTTGTGCCACTACGTTCGCTCATACCAAGGCGTACTCAACATGCGAAACCCTGAAAGTCCCTTACGCAGTAAGAGAATCCCGATCTCTCCTGCCAATTATGGAATATCTAAGCGCCAACTCTGCAGAATATCCCTGTTGGGGGACGGCATTTAGCTACCAATTTATTTTCCTTCTCACCCAATCCTTCTGTCTGGGCTGGTCTATTTCTCAGCGTGGCTGGATCCGTTTGAGTTTAAAGCGTCGGCCAGTGATCGAATTTGAGCCTCCCCAGATGCAGGATGAGCGACTAGGTTATGGTTGTTGGTGCTTGATACGCTGATTAGTAGGGTCGCGCTCTCCACACCACGACCTCTCAGCCGGCAACAATAGAGGGAGAATCCAGCCTGCAGCTGGCGATACAATGGTGGCCTATCAATTCCGCCACTATGGCAAGCTCAAACATACCCTGACTCGATATACTAGGCATCCCCAAAACTCCAATTCGCTGATGAATGTAAGGGGATGTGGGCATTCCCGGGAGAGAGTTCAGGATTGAGTACTAGTATCCCCTTGTATATAAGGCGTATTCAGGTGACCAATGCTGCAGGTGTTGTTGGCTGATGATTTCATTTTCGCGTTATGTTGAAGTTGCTTGTATCTTTTTCAATGCTTAGCTTGCTTATTTTGAGATTGTTGTTGGGTTCTAACCCCAGTTACATACCTTCATTACCCCCTATGAAACAAAGTCCTGCGCCCGCTCTTCGGACCGTTCATTCTATCCATCTGCTTATTCAACTCCATTAAACCACTCATCTTCAAGAAGCTCTTTTGCTGTCGGCCTATCCCTGGGGTCCATCTTCATAATCCTCAAAATAAACTCCTTGTCCTCCAGTGAAATCTCTTTTTGACTAGCATACTGGAAAGGCTTCAATTGGTAAGATGGCACAGAAGCCATGATATATCTCAGAATTGCCAATGTTTCCCTATCAGCAAGGTCAGAGTATGAATAGGGGTATGGCCCAAAAAAATGTGGTAGTTTGCAAGGATATTGAGTTCATATTCATCATGACCCCGAGGAACTTTGGGTTTGAATATGAAGAAATTGTCACCCCAGATCATGGATATAACCTTTGTTGATAAACAGTTAACATTGGCCTTTGTTAGGAGAAAGACTTGAGCTAGGGATGTTTGATAAGTACCATTGTTCCAAAGGACTATATGTCAGTTGGTGGGCCCCATTGCAGTCCCAGTTGTGCCTCTGGGCTCCGCCAGATTGGAGTGCCAATCCCATCACATTCCTGGCAGTACTTAGAGGTAATGTGGACAGTACCCTCCAAGTCAGCAAGCTGAATGTCAGTAAAACGTAGCTCACTCTCACCCTGAGAAGAGGGGGCAAAGTTAACAAGGACATTGTCCATTTTGACATCTGTAGAGTCCATTCTGTCAGAACCTAGGAACACACAGATTCATCTGGGAAAATTCTAACCTGTGTGCACAAATCCATCTTCATGCAGTAGCTTCAATGATGTTAGAACCCTTTTTGATACATATTTGATCTCTTTTGTAGTTAGTTTCTCCTTGTTGGAACTGGCGAGGAGGTCATCTTCTAGATGCCTCAAGACAATAGCAGGCGGGTCGGTAGGCTCCACTATTTCATCAATCAACGGACGCAGGTACTGTGTTCGGGATTGGAACTTCTTGAGGACATCTCTCTCATTGGTGATGCGGAGATCATTGCGTGCGGATTTGATCACGACAGTCCGCCCAATTGTGCATTTAATAAAACAAGATATATGTAAACACCAGGAAAGCATGCCCAGATTATTACTCAATCTAAGTAGGGAAAGATAGAAATACCTTCCAAGCCAAACCGAATCTCCAAGCTGCCTGATATCGCCGATGAGGATCTGGCCCAGCTTTAGGAGTGGCGAAGCCGATGAACTTGATGAGCTAGCGACGGACTGACCCAACTTCCCAAGAGAGGAGTAGGTTGTCATTAGATTATTGCGGACTAGAGAAGAGGCGCGTTGCGCGATTAAGGGGCACGCTCTGGCTTCTCCTCATTGTAGCTTAGGCTAACGGAAAAATGATGACCCGGGCGCGTAGACCTCAGGCATCCTTTCTCAATTCCGCAGTGTTTATCCCTACTACTTAGTAACTAAACGCAATGGTCCCCCAAACCGTTACCCGCGAATTAACAGCATAGAGCATGTCCTCAACTGCTCTGACAAGCTTCCAGCGGTTTTTCTATACCCTGCTACACAGCTAGTGCGAAAACTATGCCTAAACAGCTCCAATCCTCGCTCCCCTGAGCCTTCGGCCCCAGCGGCATCCAACCCTCCCCCAGCCCTACGAACATGTCTCCTTCTCCTCCCGGGATACCGGCAGAGCTCCCTAAGTGGAACAACGGATACCAGGCGGCTTACCAGGAGCCGGGCCTGCAGCCGTTCGAACACTGAATGTTAGAGAGGAGAATGCTAGAAACTTTGTCCGACCTGTTTCATAAAAGTGGGCTGTGATGACCAGTTGCTCTGCTGTTGTGCAGACATCTCAAGATCCCAAGTCATGCACCTGAAACCTTGCCTCCATCTCCGGCTCTCTCCCTGCTGTTCTATTTTGCCGAGACTCTAGTGCCATTTACCCCAGTCGTGATTTGCAAACTTGATTCCACCACGTTTCAAAATTAGGGAGAGAGAGAAAGTAAGAAATGTGACCGGCTAGAAAATGTTGTGCATTGTTGCTTGCACCTGAATTTAAGGCATGGGAGATCGGAGCGGCCACTTCTAGCACCCTCTTTTCATGGTCCACTACTAAGCAATCCCAATGTCGATTGCAAAAAAGTAACTTTTCTGATTTCACCCCCTGAGGTGTTCAATCTTGACTCGAGTTGAGACAGTGAAGCTACACGATATAAAAATGTACACTCTTTATATACGGTCTTGCGAGATCACTACACTTCCATGCAACAGAACTGAACATACTTTACAACTATGAAATGACTGAATAAGTGATAAATCTGTTAATAAGAATTTCTTTAGACATGTGAAAACTGATGTGTACCTCTCAGCAGTAGTTTAACTGTCTTAGTTGTGTCTATATATCAGAGACATTCAAGTGGCTTCTGGATTTAATGATTGCTGATTTGGCAGGACTTTTACAGAGTCAATTCTGTTGGAGCTACTACACAAGCCCTAACCCACGTGACCCACACACATATATTTAGCTTCCACTAGCTACTAGTTAGATAACAACAACCAACCATGTTCAATCTCTCTCACAGGTTATGAAGCCCTTGCACTTCTATAAAGCATTATAACCATGCAATAATCATACAATAAGCTTTTCAAATAGCTGCTTTTTTCATTCAAATATCTCATATCAAATACCTGTCAATACAAGATCAATCAACTGTGAAGAGATTTCAGAGAATCAAACTACTGTATCTGAATTCTTTTCAATCTCAATAACTGTGAGAAAATCATCACATAATAACAATAATCAAGATAATGATAATATAGCTGATGAAGCTGCTGTCTTGAGATGATGTATTACTCAGATGAATGAAGAACTACACTAGATAAGAGCTTCTAGTAATTCTACTGCTACAGCTACTGTTAATAATGATAATAATCTAAGCTCTGATCTTACTGCTTATCTTCAGAATCATGAGAATATTTCTACACTAAGCAGAGTTCTTCAAGAATTCTGTGAATATGTTAAATATCTTTAAAAATCAGGTCTTCTTAAATCAACATCTGATTATCTCATTTGAAAGAAAGAGATTCTGCTTATTATTAAATAATTTCATACAGAAGATATTCTCACTAGCAAGTTCTTAAAGAATGTCTCTAAGAATATGAAATGATTCTGAAAGAAACACAACTTCTAACTATACAATTTTGTATAGTCTTCTATTTCTATTAAAGTCAAATCTCTTTTTACTATATCTCAAGATTTTCTAAGTTCTGCTGCTCTATGAAATGTCATAGCAGCATTCTTTTCAGAATGAGTGAAAATCTGCAGAGTCTGCCTGTTCAAGAAATTCAATGATATCAGTGTAACTGCTATCTATAATAACTTCAACTGCTTATTCATAGAACATCTGCTTACAATCTGTGTTAAGTATATCTATCTTGAATATATTAATATTCTCAACTTCATATTCTTTAACAAGCTTCTCAACAGTCTCATCAAGAAGTGATCAATCTTTATCAGAGATTGCATGAACTATGTAATAAAGAATGATAATATCACATCACTAGAAGATGATTTTCTTAATCTCTGCAGGGATATACTACTCTGCCTGTCATTGAATGACAAAAATGTCAGAAATGATACAAAGAATAACAAAGATGTCATCAAGAATGTGAAGAATAATAAGAATATCAAGAAGAAATGCACTGTCTGTAAGATGAAAGATCATGATAAATCAAGCTGCTGGTTTGAATACTCAGAGAAACAATCTGTGAATTGAAAGAATAGAAAGAAGATTAATGATGATGATACTGCTACATCTGTATACTACAATACTGAGTAAGTCTTCTAATGATGCTCATGATGACCGCCAATATCGACGCCAAAACGATGGAAATACTGATAACGATGCCAGGCCCCAGTGCCTATATGATGCCAGGCCCCAGTGCCTATATGATGACCTGCCACAGTGCCTATATGATGCCAGGCCCCAGTGCCTACGATGCCAGGCCCCAGTGCCTATATGATGCCAGGCCCCAGTGCCTACGATGCCAGGCCCCAGTGCCTATATGATGCCAGGCCCCAGTGCCTACGATGCCAGGCCCCAGTGCCTATATGATGCCGGGCCACCGATTGCCCATATGATGACCTATGCCGATTGCCCATATGATGACCTATGCCGATGACCTATGCCGATGACCTATGCCTATGCCTATGACGATGAAAACCACAAAAATAATAAGAATGAGATCCCGCGGTGTTAGAACAACTGGGGGTAATACCAATACTGAAAGAATGGATTTGAGCATTCTTCTTGCATGTTTTTTATGTTTTTCATGTATGGAGCTAGTCCTTATGAGGAAACTAGACTCTACTTTTTGTAATTAATTTTTATTGCAGATTTGAATGATTTGAGTGCTTTTGACTGTGTGAATTAACTGGCCTGTGTAGCATGGGGGGGTGTTGGAGCTACTACACAAGCTCTAACCCACGTGACCCACACACATATATTTAGCTTTCACTAGCTACTAGTTAGATAACAACAACCAACCATGTTCAACCTCTCTCACAAATTCAACTTCTGAATTTGTTACTGATCAAGCAAAGATGAACAGACATTCTTCTCGCAAATGAGATATGCTGCAAGTATTGGATGATCTGTTCTCCCATGGACAGGTATACGGTCTTGCGAGATCACTACACTTTCATGCAACAGAACTGAATGTACTCTACAACTATGAAATGACTGAATAAGTGACAAATCTGTTGACAAGAATTTCTTTAGACATGTGAAAACTGATATATACCTCTCAGCAGTAGTTTAACTGTCTTAGTTGTGTCTATACATCAGAGACATTCAAGTGACTTCTGAATTTGATGATTGCTGATTTGGTGGGACTTTTACAGAGTCAATTCAACTTCTGAATTTGTTACTGATCAAGCAAAGATGAACAGACATCCTTCTCACAAATGAGATATGCTGCAAGTATTGGATGATCTGTTCTCCCATGGACAGGTTTGTTTACTCCAGCCTCCCTGTTTCCCAACCAGTTTATGATTGCGTGTGAGAATAGACCGGAGAAAAATATCATCCGACCCCCTAACTATATGCAGCTGGGGCTGACTAAGGGCCTGTTCGGTGATTTTTTCCGTACAGCGCCAGGGCCGTACAGAAAGTGGATATTTAACTTCTGATGGTGTTAACCTTCATTATTGCCACCTTTCCTTATATGAATAGTAGTCTGCTGTTTTGGCATTACAGAGTACTTCCTTATGAATGGTTTTTTTATGATGATGACTATCATACTATTTCAGCAGATATATAGCAGTATGAAAATCCTGTTATATCTTTACACACCAAATATCAGTGAAAAATGAATCTTAATGAGTCTCAAATTGATCACTTCTGCAGTGACAAGCCTTATTAACTGCTGCCTATGACATAGATACTGTCATATTGCCTCCCAGGTTGCATTATCACAGTTGCTCACCATGGTTGTTGATTTTTGATGATATTTGCAGGTCTCTGGATGCTGTACTCCGTATTGTTAGACCTCGTCTAATTTCCTTTTGTGGTAAGTTATAGCGTGCCCGTTTGGGCAAGGCGCTTCTTGCAAGCTCTCATGAGGTATAAAGTCTCTCTGTCCCGCTGCTTGATCATTTGGAATTTTCTGTTTCCCATTCTTCCTCCCTTCCAGTTGCAACTATCCTTCGTCTGCTCCCTGTTGACCCCTCACCGCCATCCTTTAAGATTTCTTTTTCTCTCCTCCCACTTCATCCCTGCCTTTGCTTCTGATTCGTCTTGTCCACCCGCTGTTACAATCAAATTAACTCATGTATAGGGGCAGGCGCTGCCTTCAAGCCAATCAGACAACCAGATTGCCATGAGAGTGCGGTCCGGTGACTGTGTCTCCTACTCCGGCCTGGTATGGTATGGCGACTATTTTTCTGCGCCGCAATATTCTATGTGGATATGACCCCCCAATATTTTTAAAGGGGGGGAGGACCTGGTGACATAAACACTTTCATTCGCAACGTGACTATTGGTTTTCCATCCCCTCGAGACAATGAGGCGAGTCGGGACGCCCGGAAGAGCGGAGCCCCTTCCAATGCTGTGTCTGCTCAGCCTGGTTGTTGCAGCTTCCGTTGGCGGATTCACAATGAAAACGGGGTTCTCCCCCCCGGTAGCTGATAGACCCTGCTTCCTGGGCGTCCCCCGAGGCGCACTCTACTGATCGGGGCTTCAAAATAGCAAGATGGAGACTTTGTCAATCTGTGATGGCATGTTCATCCTGTCAGCGGATAACGAATCGTGCTGTCTCTTGAGCCGCCCAGAGCCCAAACACAGTACTCCTGAGACATTTCATCATGCCACCACAGGTTGGTTGGTATTTGACATGAATGTCGTGGAGAGTCATGCGCCCGCGCCGCATGCAGCTTGCATTTAATTTTGGAACCCAGAAGAATTTTGAAGATGCTTGAGATTGCGGTGGTCTATGCTGATAATTACTTTCCTGTGTATTGTGTGTTCCAAGGGCATTTTCATGGCCCGGCATCTCCCTGCGCCGCAGCATTTTATGCTACATTGCCAAATGGGCGGGGGAAGCAGGTGAGAGCAACCGCTCATATTCAGCAAAGTCCAGCCAGCCCTTCTTTTGGCATGGATATTACATGCGCTACGTTCAAAGAATGATTATGAAAGAAGGGTCACTCATCCCAATTTTGATAGAAATTTCCAGCCTTCATCTTCCTCTTCTTTCAGAATATGCAATGTTCTCTCCCAGTCAACACCAACACCGTCCACCTACACAGAGCTACCAAGAACTACTATTACAATGAGCAACCAAGATAGTTCTGATGACCTGCTTTTCCGCCATTGCAGCCCCGAGTTCTCCGACGACGAGACTGATTCAGATACAAATGATAGCAACTCTGAATCTTTTACTGGCGGAGTCTTTAGAGCAGGCGCCGGTCCTGGTAAGCATGCCATCACCTTCCTATTTTCATTAGCAGGTTCTTACAAAGAGCAGACTTCTCAATTGTTATCAACAGTGATGAGCACAACAATGATTCTATCACTGGCTACAAGAAAACTCGCACACTGTATCTATCCGCAATGCTCTCCCTATCCGCATTGCCTGATTGCGCAGTGACACACTCTCCCAAGCGTGCACTTGCATCCTCTCACTTGCATCCTGAGTCACCATGCAAGCGTGTGGCATATTCCGGGAGTTCCAACATGTTTCTTGGCCGGGGAAGCCTAGGAAGGCAAGAAAATGACTGTTTATCTGTTGTGATGGGCTGCGCGAAACACTCCTCAGAGCAGGAGCTCAATATTTGGCAAGAACACTGTTCAAACCCGGAATGTACTCAGCGCGATGAACCTGTCTGGTGTTATGAACAGCTTGCTGGATACAGGGTTGAGAATGGGAGGGAATATGTTCTGGTCAAATGGCATGCTTTCTGGGAGTTGGCGGAGAGTTTTCCATCCGCTGAGGTAGAGACCATCAGACACCGGCGTGGACCTCGAAAGCGAGGAAGGCCCAAGAAGCCTTCCTGATGTAGTAGTCCATAGTGAATTAAAGAAGGTGTACCTTTTTTCTAAATAAACTAATCCTGTACTTTGTTTGAGCTCAAAACAACATCTGGATCTCTCACACCGTGATTCCAAAGTAGTTTTTTCACACAAGATTGTAGTTTTCTCCACGCCCAGTCCAGTGGGCCCAGCCAAGTGACCCAGTTCCCTCCACATCTCGCAAATTCACGTCAGCGCCTCTCTTGATCAGCAATTGAATCACTGTAAGAGACCCGCCCTCCGCCACCCAGCTCAATGCTGATCTTCCATTCCAGTCCATCCGGTCCAGCTCGGCGCCCCGGTCAAGGAGCAATTCCACAACATCAAGTCGACCCCACTCGGCGGCCCAGGATAGAGGGGTTCTCCCTGTGATATCCATCTCTTCAAGCTTATTCTCCTTCTTGTTGATCAACTGTATTATATGACTGATGGGTAGCTTAACAGCAGCTGAAGAGAGTTGCCCGCATTCGTAAATCGCTGTTTCGTAAACACTTAATGTTTGTGAGCTTTCATCTGAGACTGTAGAAAGAGCTCACTAACCGCTTTTTTCGAATCCGGTAGGCCATGATTGATGGGAAATATGTCCAGGGTGATTCCTGAGATTTTGCAGTGTGAGTACAATGAGATAGCTGTCAGTTTGAAATACTCATTTCTTAATAACTTTGAAATTGAGGGCATCCCATCGCTACCCTTGGGCCTTTAAGTGTTGTTTGTCCCATCGCGTGGGTCGTTCCATCAAGGATACCCAGAACAATGACATCAGTTTCAAAATTCTGATGTCATGCCTAGCCAAATTTATCAGGCTCCGTTTGGCTGTGGGAGCATCTATTGGTACCATAATGCCAGTCAGCGTATCCTTTATATTTAGTGATTGGTCAAATGTTGAAGCCCGAGCAAATGGTGTTAAAGCTGCCAAGGACCCCGTAGAGAAAACAAGTCTGAAACTATTCTTAAATCACCTAATTGCTACTTGATCACACGTTTATACGGAGATATTTCCTGATGAAGAAATACGCTCATTTCATTACCAACCGCACTTCCTACTTCTAATTCATTAATTCTTAGCTTGACACTTGGACGCATAAAAACCCAGATAGGCTGTAGTTTCCTCAAGTATCAAATATAGCCAGAGCTATTGTTGCTTGCCAAACCATTACTTCCACAAGAAGTACTCAAGTGCAAAGTCCTGTGAGGAAATGATCAGTAATGGCGGGCGAAGAAAACTGTCGCAGGAATGCATACCATAGGTCACAGCCAGGTTCTTTCCAAGGGGAGGATATGATGGTTGCAAGTTAATATCACAACCTGCCAAGATGTGAAGCCAGAAGAGCGCAAGGTTGACAGTTAGGTGATTTGGTCTGCTTTCACCCCACGGGATCACAGCTATTTGGACATTGCCTTCATTCACATCCAGGTTTCCACCATCAGTATAGGCAGAAGGGGGGGATCTTATAATGCTTGGTGATGACAGCAGCAAATTGGGAGAATCAAGTGACATATTTGACAATGCAGAGCGGGTAGAAACAACACTGTCTTGTCTAACTCTGGTTCTACGCTCTGGGGTAAGATATTGTTCGTCCCTCCGCTGAGACTGCGCATGTGGAATCACCACCCGGAACGGCGGACTTGAATCTGTTCTAGGTGAAGGTGTTGTGGGGTCTTGTGGAAGCCGATCCAGTCGTCTGCTTGGAGTGGCAGAAGGCTGACTGATACGCGCTGTGCGGCCAGCAGCCAGTGGAACCCCTTCATATTCCGATACTGTTCTTCTGATGCACACTAATTCTTTGTCTGATATGACATATGCGTATCTTGTGTTGAACAGTTTCGCGTAATGAACCACTTGACGGAGTGGTTTATGAAACTCGTCTCTTTTTGAGTGGAGCGGGTCGTGTTGCTGATCCGTGTTCCACTTCCCAGACACTTTGGTATCACCCGGAACCCGATTGCTGGGGGGAAAAGGCATGTTAGAATAAATTCCAGCCCAGTCCGGCAGAACAGTCTCGCCACAAAGGCCGGTGTGATTGCCCAAAGTCCACGATATCGCCGGCATGGTAGCTGATGCCTTGGATGCTAGCTCCAGAGCGCAGTCAACAATAGTATGATTCCATTTCAAGAGGACGGCAGTAACAGTTGGTTCATTGATGATACAACAAGCAGAGCGTTGAACTGGTGCCGGAGGATCAAATTCATGTTGCTGGTATGGCCGAGCGAGGACATCACCGAGCATAGCAATTAAGTTGTCATAAATAAAATCTGTCCATTCCTCAATGCCCTCCAAATCTTCCCAGTCTCTATTAAACGAATTAGATCCTGTTTTGACATTGGTTCTATCCAAACTGGGGTCAGCGACAGAAAGATATTCAAGCAGGGTAGACATGGCCGCAAATTGGAGAGAGTAATTCTCTTTCAAATAGGATCGTTGGAGCTTTGGGATGACCCCAGTGCCCCGCCTTTTGATGGCAGCCGAACATTATATAACATTTCCCAATGAAGCTAACATACTTCACCAGCTGCTCGGCCACTTGTACCACACTAATTTAGTATGGGATATTCTCTTCTTGTGTTTTTTGTTTTTTTGAGTTTGTCCTGTTTGTCTTATAGGTAGGTCTCTGTTGGCCGTTACGGCCGTTGCGGTTAGCGATCCCACTAGATCACGTGACCCACCACTATATTATGTTCTTGTAGATAGATCTATCAATACAACTCTTAACTATTCTACAGATTATAGCCTGAATGATATGTTTTTCTTTTTAAAACATTATATCAACATTTTTAACAAGAATAATTTATCTTTTTTGAAAAGACTCTTACTTTTTATTAGAGATATTTCATTTTCTCTAAATTTATTAATTAGTAAATTTATATACTTTTGAAAAAGTATATTCTTTATTGTAGAGAATATTTTTTTTTTTACATATTTAAAAGAAGTAGAGTTATCTTAATATAAGTAATATACTTATTACTTATTACTTCAGAGTTCAGCTTAAGACTTAAAATTACTCACTTCACTAGATAACTTATTAATAGAATAATTACTTATTATAAGAAGATTTCTGAGTTATAAGATAAAACTGATATTAGTTTTTATCAGAGTATGAAATTTAATAATGAAATAATGAAGAAGCTTCAGAATAAAGAAAAGCAGAGTTAATATTTATTTATAGAATCTGTTTATTTTAACTCAATGAATTCTTTATTATCTCTTACTCTCAGAATGCTAACTTTTAATAATAATTTAAATTAATCTATCTATTACACTGCAGACAATCTTATAAATCTTATATAAATAATACTTTGAAATTAAATAACTGCAGCTGAATTTATATAATATTTCACTATATCTATCTTTATACAAAGCTTATAAGACATTATAAGAGATGAGTTGTAGAAATATTAAAAGAAAATTAAATATACTCTAGATATTAAATCAGTGATTACATTTAACAGCTTTAATTATAAAGTCTGATATATTAACATATTAACTGATATAAAAGTTATTAATAAAACTGATATTCTATTAAAGACTTAATAAGAATTCTCTTTTATATATTATATTAATTTCAAGAAATGAAAGATCTGTTTTAAGTCTCTATATAGATATATACTATTAAGTCTTATTAGAAATATTTAAATTACTATTGAAATTTTAAAAGCTAATAATACTGCAGCTCTATGAGATAAGATTAATATTGAATATATAATATCACAGACTGAAGAATATATTAATATCTTTAAGAAATTAATAAAATTATAAGTTAAGAATAGTGATTATCTTACTTTTCAGAGATATTTTCACTATTTTATTATCTATTATAGAGAGCTCTGTCAGAGTACTGAAGATATATACTATAATCTTTTTCTTAACAATTTATAAGATTATTAAAAATCATTTATTAAGATATATCTGAATAAGTTTTTCTTCACTAACTAAGAACTCATTATTAATATTAATATTAATGATTTGATAAAGTAACTGATTAACTATACATTTAAGAAGATTATTATTAAGTGAAAAAAGCAGTTTCAGACTGATTCTGTAACTGTAAAAAAGAATAAGAATAAAGATAAGAATAAAAGTATAACTGTATAAAAGTGTACTCTCTGTAAAAGATATGAATATACTATTAACAGATGTTTTATCTTACACTCTGATAAAAAGAAAAAGAAGATAAATAAGAAAAATAATAATAAAAAGAAAGAAAAGAAGAATGACTTAATAAGCTCTTAATCAGCAGTAAATATAGTAATTATAAAGATTGAGTTCTATTTCTCTTTCACAGTCACTGAAAAATCATTCTCTAGATCTTAGTATTTGAATATATATATAAGTCTGAATATAATAGATAAGCTGTATTCTTTTTTAAATATTAAATCTTTTAATAATAACATCTCTGTTGATTCTACAACTGAAGAAACTAAGTTTATTAAAAAGATTAAAACTGTTATCTTGAAGATTAAGAGTGATAATATTAACTTACAGAATATTCACTATATTTTTAATATTACAGTTAATCTGCTTTTATTTACAAAGCTTAAAGATCAGAGATTTTAATTTACATTATCTTTCACTATTTTATCATTTTTTATTTACAGAGTTTTAAATAATGTGATTTTTTATACAGTTCAGATTACTTATAATAATATATACAGAGTTACTAAACAGAAGTTTAATAAAAATCTCAATTATTTAAGTAAGATAGTTAAGTATATTACAATATCTTATAAATATAATTTTAACTGAAAAGTTAATTTTTCTATGACTACTACTACTACTGTTGATAATATTAATTCTGCAGATATGAAAATATAGATATCAAAGATATTAAATACTCTTTTGAATTAATATTATAATCTCAGTTATATTCATACTGATACTATAATTACTATAATCAAGAATTCTTATACTGAAGTTACAATTAAAGATTCTAAGATCAAGTTCTTTTATAAGAAATATGTTAAGATAGATATAATATAAGATTATTTAAAAACATCTATATCTAGATTTATTCAACTCATTGAGAAGGTTTATATTAATTTTACAGATAGTGAATATATATTGAAAGATCTCTTTAATTATCTTTTAAAGTTCTGTAAAGAAATTAAATACTGAATACTTATTATCTATGATGTAACTCACTACTGTTGACTATATTTCTTAAAGTTCAAGAATGAAACTGTTCAATACTTTGAGTTATAACTTAGATTTATAAGTAATCTTAGATATACAGTTTCTGCTTTTCTACAGACTGATATTAATGATGTTTTTCAATTCATATATATATATACAGTTATGAATTTATATAATATTAAATGAGAATTAATAATACTTTATTTATCACATTAAGATAATGTTTCTGAATGTGAGATTTATACTATTATAGAACAGATTAGAGCTGCTCTTTTAAAAAGTAATCTTTTTAAGAAGTTCTGAGCAGATGTTCTAGAGACAGTGATTATAATAATTAATAATACTCTTGTATTTACAGTTCTTTATAACTTGAAATTTTGATTCTCTACTACAGAGACTTCTATGATTTCAAGTTTATATAAGATTTCTTAATATACACTTATAAACACTCTGCTGAATGTGAGGCATTTTCACTAATTAAGTACAGAGATTTTTATTCACTTGTATGAATTTCAGAAGTCTGTGAATAAGCTTTCTTCACATATCAATTTCTATTATATTATTGAATTTAGTGATATATTAATCTATTATCTATAGCATTCTGAATCTGACAAGATTATTATCAGTAGTAATATGAGATTCTTAATTATTAAAAAATTGAAATCAGTTATTATATCTGTGATATCTATTAATTATATCACTGAATCAGATATTCATCTGATTGATAATAAAGATACTTTTAATATTAATAATTTAAATTCTATATAATTATAATCTGTGAAATCACTGACTACTTACACTCTGAGCTCTGTTACAGATAATCTTCTGAAGTTCTACAAGAATATTATATCTCAGTTAGAGAGAGTAGAAGATTATTGAAAGAAGTTTACACAATATAAGATTACTAATCTGAAGAGATATAATACATGAAGTTTAATCTCTAAATCTGATATTCTAAGAAGTGAATTAATTACTTCAGATTATTAAGTATTTCTTAAGAAAGATAGATCTGCAGATCTGAATATTAATTCTGATAATATTCTTAGAAAATTATAATAAGTGATTTATAATAACTGACTTAAGAAGAGTTCTAGAGAAGAGATCTATACTTCTATTATTACTGATACAGTTAATTGTATTCTTTTTATAATAGCAGTACTATGCAGTTGAACACTCTGTTAAGTAAATATAGTAATAGTATATCTGTATAAGTATCTTGCTAAGAAAATCTATATAAGACAACTCACTGAGTTTGAGACAGATTCACTGAAAACACTTGTCTATACAGTTAAGAGTAGTTTATACAGTCTGAACTCTGTAGTAAAGATCTGATATAATTACTTAACACCTCTGTTAAGTAATCTTAAATTTATAATCAGTATCTATAATCTAGTACTCTGATATTATACATTCAGACATTATCTCTATATAATAATCTATGTTGATAATCTTAATATCATATCTGAAGTTTCTGAGAATGCTGATTAACTAGTGAGTATACTTAGTAAGAAATTGAAAGTTAAGAATCTATATTAATTAACTAAGTATTTAAGTATGAAAGTTAATTATTCTGATAAAGAAATTGACTTGATATATTATTAATATATTAAATATCTTATTAAAGATTTCTATCTTGATAATATAGTTATTATTAAAACACTGATAAAGAATAAATTCTGTATTGATAATTTCTCAATATCTGAGAAAGAGACTGATTTCACAATTCAGTAATATTAATATAATATAAGCTGCTTATAATATCTTGTAGTTAAAACATGTTCTAATATCACTTACACTGTCTTACTACTCACTTAACAGAATGTAGATTTAACATCTCAATATTAAAAGACTCTGTTACATATTATACATTATTTAAAAGAGATAATGAATTTAAGTATTTTCTACAGATGCAGTCTGTATAAGAGGTTTATTCTTACTAATTTCTCTATTCTCATCAATTCTTCTATTTCTATCAATTCTTTTATTTCTATCAATTCTTCTGTTTTCTCTGATTTTCTCAATAATTTCTACTTACTCTTCAGCTACTTAGATTCTGATTAAGCAGATCTCTTGAATAATAATAGAAAATTAATATTCAGCTCTATCTTTAAGCTTGTAAACAGTCTGATTTCATAGTGTTTAGTAAAGCAATCTTATATATCTCTAAGTTTTAATAAGACTGAATATATAACTTTTAGTAAGACAGTCTGCAAAGTAACATGAATTCAGAACTTTATGATTGAGCTTGA